TCACGTATGTGTGCTAGTGCCATTGAACGTTATTAGCCCACCCCACCCCACCCCACCCCAACCCATCTGTAGCGTAGCATCAGGTATGTGTGCAAGTGCAAGAGACGAGGTCGGTAGCGTAGCATCAGGTATGTGTGCAAGTGCAAAGCAAGACGAGGTCGGTAGCGTAGCATCAGGTATGTGTGCAAGTGCAAGAAACGAGGTCGGTAGCGTAGCATCAGGTATGTGTGCAAGTGCAAGAGACGAGGTCAGTAGCGTAGCATCACGTATGTGTGCAAGTGCAAGAGACGAGGTCAGTAGCGTAGCATCACGTATGTGTGCAAGTGCAAGAGAAGAGACCGGTAGCGTAGCATCACATATGTGTGCTAGTGCCATTGAACGTCGTTATTAGCCCACCCCACCCACCCCACCCCAACCCATTTGTAGTGTAGCATCAGGTATGTGTGCAAGTGCAAGAGACGAGGTCGGTAGCGTAGCATCAGGTATGTGTGCAAGTGCAAGAGACGAGGTCGGTAGCGTAGCATCAGGTATGTGTGCAAGTGCAAGAGACGAGGTCGGTAGCGTAGCATCACGTATGTGTGCAAGTGCAAGAGACGAGGTCGGTAGCGTAGCATCAAGTATGTGTGCTAGTGCCATTGAACGTTATTAGCCCACCCCACCCCACCCCAACCCACCCCACCCCATCGGCCAAAAAAACACAAAAACGCACGTACGGTAAACCAGCCGCCAGCATATACCACCACTGATTATTGATTGAATACATATATATATATATATACACATACTGTGTATATATATATAAATAAATATTTATTTGCTCATTTATTGTTTTTTGTTATTCATTCTTTTATATATATATGTGTGTGTTTTATTTTTCTATTTATATATTTATTTATCTTGTTAATGTTTTTGAACACGAACCACTTCTTAAAGTCGCAGCATATCTTTAAGTATTGTTTTCCATTATTGCATGCATAGGACAAATATTCATTTCACAAAAACATATTACCATCCAAAAAAAAATAAAATCTCATGCAACACCTTTTGTGAATGATAAATACCACAATGGTTGGTTGATACATGCACGAGGTCTTTGGTATGTGGGCTGCTTTTTTGGTGAAAGGTTGGAAAATATGTCAAGTGTACAAGTGCATGTACCATCTATGTAGCACAGTGGTGCTCAAGATTGAAGTTACTTGTCACTTGTCGCCCCTGTTGGTAACCTCATGAAGAGGCCTGCTTGTCCACCTGATGCTATGCTTGCTTTTGCCTCCACCTGAACCAGCACCAGAATCTGTAGAACAGGCTTCTCCAGAAGAAGCTGCCCCATGAGCTGACTTAGATACTTAGATACTGCAGCACCAAAGGCAAAGGCCAAAGCCAAGGTGAAAGCAAAATCTAAAGTCAAGGCAAAGGCAGCAGGTAAAGCCAAGGCTGCTGCCAGCAAAGCTCCTGGGGTTACTTCTTCGCCAATGAAAGCTCAAAAGGCAAAAGCCAAGAGCACAATGAAGAAAATCCTGAAAAGACCTGATGCAGCTGAAGGCGAAAGCCAAGGCCAAAGCGAAGACTGCCAAGGAGATGGCAGCAGGATGGAAGAAGACCAGGGATGAGCCAGTTCCTGATGACCATGCAGAAGGAGAAGATGAGGAGCCTAAAGAGGAGGATGCAACAGTTGCTGATGATGAGCATCGAAGCTACCCCAAGGTAAGGAAATGTGCCAGAATGATCAAAAGTGGTCAGGTGCCAGAAGATCTTCAGCAGCTCTATGAAGAGGGCTCCAAGAATTCTCCTCCCCCAAGGTTATTTAAGAGTCAATTCATCAACAAAGTCTTTCAGCAGAACACCAGTGGCGAGTTTGCTTTTGCTCCTGGAAATACCCAGTGCGAGGTTTTCAAGAAGAACTCTGAGATTTGCACCAACAAATCTCAGGTTACTGGGTTGCCTCACTCCATCATGTCATGGAAAAAATCCAGTGAAACCAGCAAGCTTTGAACGAGCAGAAAGACAAGGTGATGTCTATCAGAAAGATGGTTACTATCATGTCAGGACAATAGCCACAGCCATTGGGAAGAAGCAGGGCAGTTCCATGGTCTTGCATGGTGGCCAAGCCAACATCACCAAGGATGAGTTATTCGCAGATGAGTCAATTCATGTCGAGCAGGCCCTGGAGCCAGTTTGGCACTGGAGCTAGTTGTGGTGGTAGTGGTAGTGGTAGTTGTGGTAGTGGTAGCAGTGCTTCCTCTACACCAGCTGTGGTTACTTCATCCTCAGCATTGCCAAAAGGGATTTGTGATGCTCCTGTGAAACTGAGCAGGGCAAGTGCTCCCAGGAGCGGCTGGGCAGAGATTGTCAAAGACCGGCTGTCAAATTGTTTGACAAGAAAGACCAAAAACTCAAGTATACTTTGATGGATGTCCTCACCGAGCTTTCAAAGACAGAATGTATGCTTGGGGTTATTTCATTGTAGCTTTGATGTTGTATAACATATCTTCAAAACATCCAATCAGATTTGATCTTCACAAATAAAAACTTTGATTTGCTCAAACAAGTATAAGTTCAAACAATATAGTTTTTTTGCACTTCCAGTAATCATGTAGGACTGACTTCACACAAAATCAAGAAACATATTGTTAAAAAACTTTTCAAGCACTTGATAATGGTCACTTTACTATGGTACAATGTTAAGAAAATGTCGAAATGCATTTTTTTCCAAGCAAAAAATGCAAAATTTCAAGGTAATTTTTGAGGGTATTTTTTTAATCCCCCAAAATTACCTTGAACTGTACCCTTAAAAATTAACTATGTAGTTAAAAAAAATACCTAGAATGTTTTCCTTAATAATAAACTATTAGTTAGAAATTTGCCTCCAAAATCACTTTTACCTATTTTGCTCCAAATAACCTTGCCTGACCTTTAGGGTGTGTTTTTCCAAACCCAGGATGTTTGGATTCCCATGTTACCGCCGCACATGTGCGTTTGGATCATCCACTGCAAGTCCCCTTCCAAATAGTACTTGATCTGGTTGGTGGTTTGGAACATTTTTCCCCACCTGCCAGGTGAGGGTTGTTAGATTTTGTCAGAGCGCTCTTCCTCCACGTCCTCGTCATCCTCCTCCTCCTCCTCCTCCTCGACTAGCTGTCCTCTTCCTCCTCGTCCTCCTCCTCGCCTCCTCCTCCAGTTTCTCCTCGACCATGTCTGCATCAACTTGAAATGCACTTCCGCCTTGCCAACTCTTCGCCAAACTCTTTGCCAAATCTCTTCGCCGACTCTCTGCGCCAAGCTCTTTGCCAACTTCCCAGCTCAGTGTGCACCGCTGGACCTCAACCTGGGACCTGCCCAGCTCAGTGTGCACCGCTGGACCTCAACGGCCAGATAGAATGCCAGAAGAGATGCCAGATAGAATGTCAGATAGAAGCCAGATAAAATGCCACGAGACATGCCAGATAAAATGCCATAAGATATGCCAGATAGAATGCCAGAAGATATGCCAGATGGAATGCCAGAAGATATGCCAGATAGAATGCCAGAAGGTATGCCAGATAGAATGCCAGAAGGTATGCCAGAACATATGCCAGAAGATATGCCAGATAGAATGCCAGAAGATATGCCAGAAGATATGCCGGAAGATATGCCAGAAGATATGCCAAAAGATATGCCAGATAGAATGCCAGAAGATTTGCCAGATAGAATGCCAGAAGATATGCCAGAACATATGCCAGACGATATGCCAGATAGAATGCCAGATAGAAAGCCAGAAAATATGTCAGAATATATGCCAGAAGATTTGCCAGATAGAATGCCAGAACATATGCCAGAAGATATGCCAGATAGAATGCCAGATAGAATGCCAGAAGATATGTCAGAATATATGCCAGAAGATTTGCCAGATAGAATGCCAGATAGAATGCCAGAAGATATGTCAGAATATATGCCAGAAGATTTGCCAGATAGAATGCCAGAAGATATGCCAGATAGAATGCCAGATAGAATGCCAGAAGATTTGCGAGTAACAAAATGTATCAATGTCATGGTGGGGATCACACCAAGTAAAGTTTTTTTTCCATATATTGGGAATCGTAAACCCAACTGACTTTCATATTTTTCAGAGGGTTAGGTCAACCACCAACCAATGATATGCTTGATGACTGTTGGTCGACTGGGATCCCATTTGAACAAACGGAACCTTGGAGATGGGCTACCTGGTCGACCGACTCGAGCATCCGACTGAGAACGGGGATGTCCAATGGGAACACCCGGACTTGTGTACCTTGAACAAACAGCGCAATAGTAAATCCCTCAATACATGGTTTTGTCTGATGTTTTTTTTTACATGATCATAGAATGTGTATACATATATACATATATACATATATACATATATACATATATACATATATACATATATACATATATACATATATACATATATACATATATATATATATGATACATAAAAATTATAAGTTGAAGTTGGATTTTCCATCGCCACATGAAATTATTCAAGGGTGACTATTTGGATATGCTTACCGGCCTGGGAGTTTTGCACAAAGAATGGCCAGGAACAGCAACAAACCTCAAGGCGCAGTAGCACTTTGTTGTAAGTACAGTGTTACAGCATGGGATATTTTGGCCCTTTGCCAGTGTACTTCTAACCCCATTCATGGAATGTATAATCCCGTTTATAACCAGCTATAACTAATAAATGGCCATAATTGTGGGATATTGTGGTGCTTATTGCTACAATTTGTTGTGAACATATCCTCAAGATGCAGGTACATTTAGGTACATGTTGAGAATGCTTGGATATGCTTGGGATTTGGACCCAAATTAGCCTTGAACCATCTATTCAACTTAATTTAGGTCAAATAATGAAAAACATACAAGCATAACATCTGATAACTTATCCCACAATTATTGATTATAGATGATACTTCCCATTAAAACCTCCATTTTTTGGTGGTCATTTCGCAACTTCGGAACCCATCACCATCACCACTCAGGCACTGCCAGTCACTGGCGCGAGCCAGTGGTGGTTCAGAGTCCACAAGGGAAGCGAATTGGAAGTGGGCCGGCGACCGGGCGTGCCCCTTGGGCTGGAAAAACACGTGGGGCTCCCCCTACTTAGCCAGTTAAGCTGGTTAGATAAGTCACTCACTTAACTAGGGTTTTATGGTAGATATATCGAACTAGTTAGATTGGTTTGTACAACCGCACCGAAATCGCGATTGTTTGGTGAATTGCTACCTCCAATTTCGCGGTTTCTGATACAAACAGAAACAACAAGTATTCATGGGGTGATCTAAACCCACGTTCACATCACTTGGGGGGCCACAGTGCTGTGTCGAGGTGAACGTCCAGCATCGTTCCGTGATTTTCCCAGTAACATGTCTATTTATACACTTATGGCCCCTTTACCAGTTATAAGTACTGATTGGTGGTTTCAAACATTATTTATTTTCCATTTCATATATGGGATAATCCGGAACCCATTGACTTTCATATTTTTTCAAGAGGGTTATTGCACCACCAACCAGTTATGGAATCTACAGTCCCATTTACAACCAGTTATAACTAATAACCGGCCATAACTGCCGGGATTTTCAATTGCTATGTTTGACTGCCAGAGGGTAGTTTTTGTGGGTTCTGAGTCCCAACATAGTTGGAAGATTTTGTGATAACCAGACAAGCAGGTGAGTTGCACAGCCTTGAAACGACTAACGCAGATCCCTGCTTGGAAGTTAAAATTTCTGAATAGCGCCCTTACACAACTATTATATATACACATGACAATATCTGGGATAAGTTGTGGGTTATAATCGAGTTTTACTTACTTATCATTTAAGAACTCCAGCCTGATGGAAGTGCTGGGAGGATACCTAGCTTGGGCCAAGATCTGCAGTTTGATCACTGCATTTCATGTTGCACTGGTAGACAAACCTCTTTTTTGGGCTTGGTGAAAAATCTTACATCGATTGAGATTTCGCTCCATTGAACGGGAAACAGACCCTTGTGAAAACTGGGCCCAGGCCTGTGAATTTGGGCAAATGGATCTCAAGATTGGTGGTTTAGACTTGAGAAAATCATGACAAACCGACTCAACTAGACTTGATGGGGTGAATGTCTCATTGGGATCTGTTGGCTCGTCTTTGGCCAAAGCCGATTTTTGTTTGGGGGGTGGTAGTGCTTGGGTGTCTAGTAAGTACCACTTCAGGCTCTTTGTTGTGGGCCTCAAAGTCGAAAAACATCGCCTTGAAACATTCAATCCGTCATCATCGTAATTTAAAACTAGTTAATTATAAGTAGACAATCCAGGATACGCACACGAGTAGGCAAGAGCATGAATTCTTAGAGGCTAAATGCCCACTTTTTAGTCTGGGATTTTAAGAGAAAAAACGCAGATTCACATCATGTCGCTTGCCTTTCAGTCAGAAGCTAGTTGCACAGGAATGTGGATGGATTTTATTGCCTCTCAGATGCTTAGCCTTTTGTAGGATATGAATGGATTGGATTTACCAGTTCTTGGGATCATATATAGATTATTTTAAGAATTACCATCTGGCTATTTATTTTACGTAGCGAACTGGAGAATCACCATTTTTGATAGGTAAATCATCAAAAAACATTTATACATGGGCCATTTTCCATGGCTATGTTAAATAACCAAAGGGTAATATAAATGTAAATTGATGTTTACATTGTTTATCAATCCCAAAAGTAAGACTTTTTGCCAGCCAAAAAATACCAAGGAACACCATAGCTGACCATGGCTCTGAGGCAAGTTGGCAGACACCATGAAGGCAGAGGACTTCCCGATGGACGGTGCCCCGTAGTCGTGGTATGGCAGCACAATAATATGTTAAGATGGCAACCACCAAAGCAACCAAACAATATGGGTTTGTGGATGTTTATGGTTTAGATATAAACTAGTAAACTATTGTTATAAGTCCACCTTATGATTCATTGGATTCGTTTCTGGTGGGTAAGTTGGTTTACTGGTGACTTCAACTGTTGGTTCATGGCATATTTCGGCTGCAACTTGACCCAAATTTCCGCCATGAGGATGGCAAGAACATCCAGGATTCCCGAAGGAAAAGGAATTGGAAATCAATATTTTTCCATGGTCAGCTCACCATTGTTCATTGTGAAAATCACTATTGTCCAACGTAAAACCAGCATTTGGAGTGAAATCCCTGTGTCAGTGAATAACTTATCCAGCTCCGCGAGGCAGCTTTTGAAGCCGGTAGATCTCCACGTGGATGGTTCTGTAATGTTTGATGGTTGTGAAGTGGCGCCCATTCAACATCCAATTTGGATGTGAAAGAAAACACTGTTCTGAATTCTGAACAATCAATCCAGGCTTTATATGTATTTTTGTACTAACTCATAGGAAGTTCTTCAATGAATTCCCCGTGGCACACCAGTTTACCCCACCTCAACTTTCGCATCCAAGTTAGATTCTCATGGTTGATTGGTTCTCAATGTTATGTGGATCAAGATCCTTTTTGGTCATCTGGTGGTCAGTCGAAATCCTTCTTATCCCTGTGAGCACGCAGTGACAATGACCACAAAATGGACCATTTCAAAACACAAAAGTGTGAAACGGTTTGGCATAGCAACTTTCTCCCAGAAATCTTCCATTTTTGGTAGGAGGTGGTTGTTACCTACCACAGTCATGTCTCTTGTGTCAGATACTACTCTTGATCATAGCCAAAAGGTCAGCATCTAAAATATTCCATGCATGCTCAATGCTACAGTTGCTACGCCCATGTTGGTCACATATGCCCTGCTAAACCTGCAGGACCTGGCGCGCTGCGCGGGCGCCTTCGCGTCCGCAGAGCAGCGAGACTTTCGGGTGCTGTTTCTGCTGGCCGAGGAAGCCATCGCCAAGGCGCTGTGGAGCACCTGGTGAAACGCTGGGGAAACGCTGGGAAAATGGTGGGAAAAGGTATGAAATGTTGGGAAAATGGTGGTTTTAGCCTGGAAAATGATGGTTTTACCTTGGAACATGTGAGGAATTGTGGGAGAACCATTGGAAAATGGTGAGATAGCGCTGGGAACATTGATGGTTGAAGTATGGGCTGAATCGTGATTTAAGGATGGTATAGGTGGTAAAAATGTAAAAAGTTAGTTGATGCATGGGTGATTTAAGTTTAAGCAACGAAATTTGTGTGTGTGACATTGGTTTGTTACCCCTACAAGTCGAAATTAAAGAATTGCTTTGCATCTGATTCCTTTCAAGAAGAGTACCTGACGCGGGTTATCATGAGGATGACAATGAAAATGAGGACAGGGAGTTTCAATAACCATGGATCCTTACTTGTGCTGAAACATCAATGATTCGTACCCTCCCTAGAAGTGATATAGAGTGTACAGTGAGCAGTAGTTATACGTAATGAATCAACAACCGTCCTTTTCTTGCGGTTTACCAGTAATTTGCCTTTCTATTTTTGTGGGGCCATTCATCAAGTGCTCTGATGGTCCCATTTTGGGACGTATCGATTCTGGTAGCGTTGTCAAATCAGCATCTCTTTTGATATCCCAAGTAGCTGCCTCAGTTCATCAGTGAGTTTACAGCGCCAGATGAAGTAGGCTTTGTGGTGATTCTAGGTGATTCTACATGACAAAAACGATCGTTTGATTAGGAAAGCAACAAACATGACCGGCCGGAGATCTACCTGGGATGTTCATCCATTCAATGCAGAGGCCCCATGGAATTTGAGAAATTTTCATGGGGCTCGCAGCCAACCATTTCCCTCATAGGCAAGAAACTCCACGTTTTGTGGGAGAACCCCCTTCAGCTGCGGATGAATCAACACCAGAAGTCCAACACTTAGTCTTGAACCAATTTACCTATCAGACACCCTAAATTCCTAATTTTGGTGCTTGAATTCCATTCGCTGGATGATCAAATAGCAGTCTTTTAATGGCAGCTTTGAGGGTAATTTTAATGCCTGAATCCTTATTTTTTTTTGGACGGAAAATTCCAATTTGTTTATCACTAGAGCATAGTTTTTCACAGTTTTTCCTGGTAAAATCACGAAAAAAAACATGTGATAACTGAGGAAAACCTAGGCCCTTGGATCTCACCCTAGGTCGTCCCTGGTCCAGGCACCCAGCTTCGAAGTTGCCGAGGTGCCTGGCGAAAATGGCCCATAGTACACCTGGTTGGTGCTTTGGAACATGAATTTTACGATTTTCCATCTATTGGGAATGTCATCATCTCAGCTGAGTTTAATATTTTTCAGAGGGGTAGGTATACCACCAACCAGTAATGATATATATATATAATACACTTAATGATGGGGTATATATATATATATGTGATGGGGATAATACTTAATGATGGGGATATATAATGATATATACTTTAATCAACAAATCATGTTGGTGATACTTGTGATTGGAATATTTAAGGGGACATGTCAGCAACAATTTGTCGATGCGGTTAATACCTATATGATGGTGATATTTCACCAGTATGACCGCAGGAAATGGTGGATTTAACCACCGGAAATCACGGATTTTACTTACTTGGCGGTTCATCCCAGGGATCGTAAGTGGGATATAAGGCTAGCTAAAAGTAGATTAACACCTATTTATCCCACTTATAATCAGGATATCAGGGTTATAACCTACTTAGTAAGTGGGATGAACCACCAAGTAGGTACGTAATGGGATCAAATGGTTGAATGATGTTGAATTTGATGGGTAGCCCCTTGTAATTTAGTTATGTACATGACAATTTCATGGGAATCTCATTGGATTTCATGGGATTTAATAGGAATATCATGAGAATGTAGTAGGATAATCAGACTTGCCAATTGAACATCTGGCTCAAAGCCCTGCTACCCTCAATACACTAAAAGAGGTCGTTATATATTTTAGATGGTGATTCCCGCCGTCATTTGGTAAGTTCATAGGTTTTGACCCATCCCCATATAGCTATATAAGGAAAGGGCCATGTATATATAGACGATTTACCTGTTGAACATTATGATTTTCCATAACTATGTTCAATTATCAGAGGGTATAACCAACAGAACTGGTGGTAAAACAAGCTAGACTAGGATGTCAACATTGTTACCATTTAAGCTGAGAATATATATATATATGATTATATGTATTTAATTACCCATAGTTATATTATATATACATATATATATATACATAACTATATATATAGTTATATATATATAGTTATATATATATATCTATACAGCCAGAGTCTCCAGTTGTAGCTCCAAGAATGGGTAAAAGTATTAGATTTATTGGCCAAAACGAAAAAAATACCACGTGTTTTTCCAAGGTACCTGGAGGGTCTAGGTGGAAAATCAGAGTTTGGATGCTAAATTCTATTGATGATCCTACCCATAGGATCCATGGTGCTGGTATATATGCTAACATAAATGGGGTATATTGATGGTAAATGTTACCATATATAGCATATATGGTCTTATGGATATTGGATGATTTGATCCTATTCAATTCTTTCATATTTTTGATTAGAATCTATTCTCTAGAATCTAGTACATCTAATCATACCTAATACATCTAACCTAGAATCTATTCTATTCTCATCTGATCTAGTTTAAACTCTCTATATGTATTTCATTTTTGGTGGTGAAATAGCTCGAAAATCCCTTACTGTAAACACACAGGAGATTACACCTGAAGTAAACTGTGCAGTGGTCAATTGTGGAGGGTCCCGAGTTTCTGCGAAGAAACTGCTTTCAACTTGACTGGCAAGATGTTCAAGCATAGAACAGCATTTTCACATATTTTCACATGCCCTGCCATTCCCTGGCCAATTCAGTACCTGTTGTGACGACATCCAACAAAACACAGGTAGTTGTACCCGGTCGAATCTCGAAATTTCCAAACCTTCCAATCTCCCCCCATGGCGCCGGAGGCAGTTCAGATGCTGGAAGCTTATGCTGCGCTGAATGTACGTCACCGGGCCGGTTAACAAACGAACGGATAGATGTGACCAGGAAAAGTTCGAAGGTCAACCAGGTTGAGAATGAGGATTATTAATGGGATAATCATAGGATAATCATGGATAATGATGATTAATGATGATTAATGATGATTAATGATGATTAATGATGATTAATGATGATTAATATCTGGTTGGTGGTTTCAAACATGTTTTATTGTCCATAAATAATCCAATGTTTTCCCTCTAATAACTGGTTGGTGGTTTGGAACATGAATTTTATGACTTTACATTTCATGTATGGAATAATCCACCAACATTGACGAACTCCATCATTTTTCAAGATGGTTTTTTAACCACCAAGCAGTTACTTGTTATTTTCCATTCTTTTCAATGGCCATTTCAGGAACCTAAATTGGAGGTACCTATCATATATAAGGCCTATTTTTTAGGCCTATGTAAGGGGATATCCCCAGAAAATATGGCCTTATATGGTACAGTACCTCCATTTTAGGATCCTGAAATGGCCATTGATCTTTTGGTGCACATCCACGAGCCGATCTTCACCAGGACACCAGGACCTGTCAGTAGCCTCGATGAATAGCCACGATGAATAGCCCTGTCAGTGATCCACTGTGAGAACTCAATCGTCAGTACTCCGTGACTAAATTGGGGTACAATGGATTCACCCATATATATATATGCATCATATCCATTCAGTAATCAATTTCACAATTTTTAGTTTAGTCATTTGCACAGTGGCACACCGTTTAATCAGTGATTTTTTTTTTCGGATTGTCCCAGGTGAGGCCTCCCCAGTTGTAGAATTTCTAGTTGTATCATGTTATATTCCCCTAATCAACCCCAAACATTAAGCAAGGCAAACAAAAAGTCAACTTAGCTACAAGGTGGTGCCCCCTAGATAGCTAAGTTGGTTTATAACTCCAATAACTATGGTTTTTGTTGGTGATATATCTATAGTTAATGGGATTATAAACCAAAAAACATAACTGGGGGGCACCACCTTGTATCATAAATCAGCGAGGCCTGTGAAATCTCCATTTCCAACGTGGGGTGAACTCTCCAAAATTTTCGCGCACCGAGGCAATGAACACCTCTTTGAGGCGCTAACGAAGCGCCTGCTGACTGAAGAACAGCCCATGGCAGGGGAGGTGGGTCGCTGTGGTGCCGTGAGTCCTGGGAGAATCCGAATGTTTGTTGCTGGTGGTTCAAATGGCGTAGCCTCTGGTAAACATACCAAAAACGAGGGAAAATCACCATTTTCAATGGGTAAATCCATGTAAATCCACTATTTCGACTGGGCCATTTTCAATAGCTATGTTAAATTACCAGAGGGTAGCTACGTACGGACCTTATGTTGCCAACAAGCGGATGGTATCCAATTACCAAGCGGCTGCGATTTATTTTTTGATCCAGTTGCTGTGTATACATGTAATCTCATCTAAATGTATAGGTTAAACCCCAATCAAACTGGGTTACTAGCCAGGTACCAACTAGTAACCAGGATGCACATCCACTTGGAAATGATTTGGAATCTCAAAGCAGAACACTCAATGGTCATTTTTCAATATACATGCTTGAAAGCTTCTCCTTGTCAAAGTTCCATAAGTTTACGCCATCCAAAATGAAACCTGGACTCACCCAAATGAAGTGCAATTGCAACTGTGACTGACATCTTCCAATTCGTATTTTGTTTGTTTATCTTGGTATATCTAGTTTTCGAGGTTTACAGGATTTTACAGGCATGGTTTCACAGTAGTGACGAACATTCAACCGATCCGATTTCACGGATCTGCTTTCGAGTATCGATTTCACGGATCCGAGCCCGTATTTGTTCATCGCAACATTTTACAATAAATAGAAGTTTATAGCTGGGAGATTGATCAAACTAAATGGGTGATTCTTCCACTGCTATGTTTGATTACCGGAGAGTATTGGAGTTTTGATGAGTTTTTTTACCGTCCAACTGATACTTTGCAGATGTGATGTTCAAAATCAGCACCGGACATTTACCATCCGCGAATCGAACATGGTTTGCTGGAAAATTTTGGATTTATGATGTTCATTGATTTTCCCAGCTATAAGCCTCTATAGAATAATCAAATATGACTGGGACAATCTCTGAAGATCTACTAAATTAGTAGATGTTCATAGATTTTCCCAGACATATTTGATTATCCTATGATGTTCCCATTAATTCCCATGAAAATTGTCCATTAAATGCCCAACAAAAATCCCCGTGAATTCCTCGATTTGTTGATGGTTAAACCAGGTCTTACAGCGTGTGCTGCTGGCCCACCGGAGCTTGAAGCTCATGGAGCTGTCCACGTGCCGCGACGGGAAGACGTTTTCTGAAGCCAGACATCACAGCCGATTTTGAGATCAGAAGCAGCCCATTTCACAGCGATGTCATGGGGATATCGGGATATGGGAACATCATGGGATACCCTCTGGTAAACTAACATACCCTCTGGTAATTTAACATAGCTATTGAAAATGGCCATTTATAGTGGATTTTCCCATAAAAAAATGGTGGTTTTCCATAGTTATGTTAGTTTACCAGAGGGTAACTATGGACAGATCCACCATTTTCTAGCTGGGTAGCTATCAACTATTTCGACTGGGCCATTTTCAATAGCTATTTTGACATAACCAGAGGGTACTTGACCAACTTGATATGGCTGTATCACTGGGCTCGATGTGACCTGGGGCCAGGTTTTGACTCCCAAAATGAATTCCTAACACATGTTCATTGGATTATTGGGAGCATAGAAACACGTTGTGGTGTTTGGTTTAACCAAAAGTCATCAAAAATGTGTACATCTAATTAAATATATAAATACATATATGTCGTTTTTTGTGATACGATAGTTGTTTGGCCAAAACATGGCGATTTCAAAGAGTTTGTAGGCTGGATGCATAGCAACACAGGTCAAAACTGGATTCATATCCTCGCCATGACGGGTGACGATCCAATGATTTCTGGTGATTTCTGGTTCTGGTGGAGCGAAATTTGCAACGGCTAGCAGGAATCCATGATGTGACATGCCTGCAAGGGAGATTGGTTACTATCTAAAATGGAGGGCCCCAAAGCATGAATCAACATGGACCTTGGTAACAGTATGTTTCAGGAGTCAGATAACTGGCGAAAGCCAAAGCTATGCCCAGCTCTACAGTGATTTTTTCTGTGGACCTGAAATCATCCTGTCATGCCTGAGGTATGCAGCTTTGGAAGATTTGCAAAGTTGACTCCTCAGAGTTTTTCGGGTTCCCCTGAGTTTTTGTTCGTGGCAATGGTATCAATGGTGATTACAGACTGGATGACGGTTTTACCGTTGTTTTGCTGGCCCTCAGAATCAAATATAATGGAAACTACAGGGTTCCGCCAGGAGGCCTATTTATAAAATGAGCAGGTTTGGTACCTCTGGGCACTGGTCCCAAAGTCGAAGTCACCACCATCAGGCCTCACTACAAAATAATGCACTAGTAACTGGAAGGCCGGGGCAGGTGTAAAACTTGCTTAATAGTAATGAGAAGAATAACAGTAGTACTAACAATAATAAAAACAATAATGATAAATAGTTATAAGAGTAATACTAGTATATATACATATATATATATACATGTACACCAAAATTTGATTAAATTGCCAAGCGGAACGGGATTGCCAGCAGCTGTGCCAACGTTGGGAGAAATCACAGGGTGCGTTAAGATGTGAGGGGTTCCACCAAAATTGGTTTGCTTACCAAATTTGGTAATGTCTAATGTAATAGAATGATATATATATATATATACAGTATACATATTTATAGAATTTCAGATTAGTTTGTCGTGATTCTGGCGGATTAGCAGATTGAATTTGAATTCAATTTTGGGCATGAACTACGAACTATTTATTTAGCAATTAATCATTTACTGATTGGATTTGGGATGTTTTTACAAATTCCCCACGTCTTCGACATAGCCATATCATTAGAATGTTGTTCTCAACAAGTGGGGTGGATATGGCTCAAAAGGGACTCACAAGATTGGTTATCTGGTTGGTGGTTTGGAACATGTTTTTTCCATATATTGGGAATAATAATCCCAACTGACTAATATTTTTCAGATGGGTTGAAACCACCAACCAGTTATGTTGAGTACAAATCCATGGAACATCCTCATAAACCATGGAAAAATATTGAACATTTATGGGAAAGTATGGAAAACAATGAAAAACCATGGCTAATGGATGGTGAATGGGGAATTGTAGGGATATTATCTAATTTAATTGGGATATTGATCTGCGATATTTACCATCCGGTGTACTGTAGCTGGAAAATCCCTGAACTAAATGGAGATTTGTAGCTGGGAAAATAATCGAACTAAATAGTTGGTTTTCCAGCCAGCCATGTCTGGAGATCCGCAATAAACATCTCCTTTTCTGATACGTTTTGTTCCCCACCTGTCAGGTGAGGGTTGTTAGATTTTATGTCAGCTGGCCCGCCTCCTCCTCCTCCTCTGCCAGACCTCAACTGCAAGCTCTAGAGCGCAATGTTCCCTGCCGGGCCCCAACAGCAACCTCCGGCTGAAAGTGTCCCCCGCCGGACCTCCACCGCAAGCTCCGGATCAAAGTGTTCCCCACCGGACCTCAACCACAAAGAACCTCCGAAGATATACCAGATAGAATGTCAGAAAGAATGTCAATATATGCCAGAAAGTATGTCAGAATAGATGCCAAATTTAGAATGTCAGAATATATGACAGAAAGAATGTCAGATAGAATGTCAGAATAAATATGTCGTATGCAAGTCCAGGTGGTATGTCAGAAACTATTTCAGAATGGTGTTTCAAGGCGGGGACCACTCGAAGAAAGTATTGTTTTTTCAGGGTCGCCATGTCACCGGGAAAGTTGGTGAACATGACTGAACGTGGTTTGCTTAGCAAATAGCTATGAAACAACTGTACGTTATGTTAAACTGTAGAATCAACAAGGCCGGGTAAGTTGTGTTTTGGTTTTTAAGCCTTTGAATAATCATGTGGATGGTGAAACGGACCAAGCAACTGAAGGTTTTGACTTGCCCTCAGGTCGACATGACGGGCGGCCGATGACTGAAAATTGTCCCTGAAAAAGGAGCTCGCTGTCAGCTGTGCTCCATCCTATTGCCACAAGGGTAAGGGATTTGTGTGTGTGTGTGTTTTCCAATGTTTTGTTTCGACTTGACTTGTCTGTTGGTGTTTCGTTTTTTTCTTTAAAATAACACCTTTTTTTTGCCCAAGTTTCTCTTTGAATATTGGATTCAATTCTGGCAGTGAGGGTTCCAACACGATCAGTGTAGATGCGGTTTTTGGAGCCAAAACTGAAGACCCAGGGGACCACAGATGTTGATCCTATTGTTGATCCGATTTTGGGTAATTGTTCTATTTGGATCTATTTGGGGGCTACTGGTAGCTAATTTTGACCCAAACTTGTGTATTTCAAGACACAAGATGCGATGAAGATCGGTATATTGCCCTTAGATGCCCTCAGTTTGGTTTTTATAATGTTGCAGGTACATTTCTGTTACTTCACCATTCATGGAAACTGAAGATAGCCACAGTACATCCAGTTTACTTGCATGCCCGGCATCGTGGGTGCAACATGTCATGGGTACCAGCTGGCTACATACAGGTTTTGCTAAGTTCCGCTGAAACTGTTTGGAATTCAGTTTCCAACTTCCATCGCGTACACGGAGGTTTCCTGAAATGGGGGTACCCCCAAATCATTCATTGTAGTCGGATTTTCCATTATTAAACCATCCATTTTAGGCGCCCTCATTTATGGAAACCCCTGTATGACTTGCGCCAGGTGAATGGTTTCGAACGTGGATCAGTCAAAGTCTTGCTATCCATTTTGGACTGGGCTGTGGCTGCGGAAGGGGTCCCAAGTTGGGTAGGTTCTATGATAGATTTATCCACCGGGAATGCGGATTTCACTAACAACAGTTGGGCGCCCAAACAATAGCTAAGTTGGTGAAGATACCTCCAATAAGTATGGTTCATTATGCTTAGAACTATAGTATTCATGGGGTGATTCTGAACCAATGGGCATGACTGGGGGCCCCACTTTGTACCAAAAATTTGGTTTTATAGCTGACGTATGACAGGCAACTGAGTTGCTTGGTTGATTTGCTAAGCGGCCAAGTGGATATGTCGAATTAGTTAGGATAGCATGAACCAAGAAGCATCGGCACTGGGTAAACCTGGGGTTGGTAGGTTGTGTGACACTGGACGACCAACCATCAATAATCTCCAGGAGCCCACTGGTGAGGAAGATGAGGAAGGTCGTTGGAACACCCCAGCACAGGAGATTGGAGGAATATCCTGGGGTAAACCTTTGCAAAAAGATGTAGAAAACCCATGGGTTTTCCTAGGAACATGATTTACAGATGGTGGGGGTTCCACATCTATGTTAGTTTACAGGAGGGTATATCCATGAAGCACGGATGTATAGTCGATATAACTGGTTGGTAGTGTCAGATATGTTTTATGTGTAATGTCTATTTAGAATGAGCGCAATTTGCCAATATCTGTTTTACCGGGGGTGACTGAACCACCAACCAGCCGCAATGAATGAGTTGCATCATTTGTGCGCGAAACTGGTTGTTTTCAGCCCTCAAAGAAGTGCGAGATTTCAAGTGAGATACTCTACTGGACGGTGCGCCCCGTTACATGAAGGTTATAAACCACCAACTGACAGAGGGATTCACAGTTACTCACCATTTCCTACTTCCTATTTTGGGATTCCAACACCTCCGAATGATGGAAGCATTGACAATCCAAACTGGTTGGTGGTTTGGAACATTTTTTATTTTCCATAATATATGGGATAATCCTTCCCATTGACTAATATTTTTCAGAGGGGTTGAAACCGCCAACCTGGTATTAGTTGAACCTATCAACTTATAGAATGTCATGGACATTGGGTTTCCAAAACCCAGAAACCTGTCGGATCGACGTCCACATATTCATCATAGGCTCAAGGCCTCTGCTTCTAGATGGCTAGATGATTTTCAAGGCCCATGGTATTTGTTTGAAGTCCTTTCTGAATACATTTAAGACTATAATATATCATATTATATATATATATTATTATTGTTATTATTATTACTATTATTATCATTATTTATTATTATTAATATTATTGTCATTATTTATTATTATTAGTATTACTATTATTATTATTATATATATATTACTATTATTATTATTATTTTACTTATTTATTATTATGAGGATTATATATATATATATATTACATATTATACATATTATACATATACTCCAATATGATCAAGATGGTGACTTTTCGTTCGTTTGGAATCTCCACATTCGGTTTTTCGTTGGCCTCGTGGCTGAGGCAATACCATGTCCGCTGATCGAGCGCTGCAAGAGCTCGCCGAACAGGTGGAGGATCCTAATAGCCGCCTGCGCTTGGGCGAGGTGCGCGAAAAACGGGGGCGGATGGGATTCTGTTGGGCCCGAGGAGCCAAAGGGATGGGTAAAAAATGATTAATGTGGTTCAAACCATGTCATAAATCACCCATTTAGTCAATCTATGGTTAATAATGGTTAATGATTAATGAATAATAGTGGTTAATAACAGTTAATAATTGGAATAATGTGGGTAAAACAATGTCATAAACTACCCATGACTGGGAATGGTTTATTCATACCACCTATAAAAAAGGTGATGACTAGGGGATGGTTTATGACATTGTTTTAACCACATTATATCAACCCATTTTTCAGTGTCACTGAGTGCCTTGGAGCTCAGCACATGCCCGTCTTGGCTTGTCATGGCTATGGGATGATACTTAGGGAACCAAGCGCCGGTGGGTTTAGGCGCCGGTGGAAAATCACAAGCAATGAGCCACCAAGAAAATGGTGATTTGTATGTGCCCTCTGGTAATTTAACGTAGCTATTGAAAATGGTGATTTATAGTGGATTTAACCATTAAAAGTGGTGAGGGTATATATATACATATATATATATCATGTGATGGGTTACAACAGAGTTTTACCAAGTGGTCTTTTTTGCACATGGTTTTGGTTACGGTTTGCGCCCATGGAGCGATTGTGCTCAACTCGGCATCCGGAAGGGGACTGGCAAAGGGATGAAGGTTCCATTTCTTTACAGCAAGAACATCCAGAAATGGTGTATGAATTGAATTTCCAGCATAGATTGAAGGTGAAATACATGTACTCCATGGGATATTGGGATATTTGGGATTGAACGTGAGAGATACATCTATTTTATGGGATATTTTGGGGTTCAGTTCCACTAAATCAGTTATTGCGAGTTGTCTCTGGGAAGGTTGCCTCCAAAAGCTGCAAGTATGGGGTTAATTGATTTCATTGGCAAACATGCTGCAAAGCCTTGACGTTTTAGTTGTTTCATAGGGGCAGGCGGCTCATTTTCGAACACAGAAACCAGTTCGTCATCACCATTTCCTAGTTAATTCCTAGTCAATCCTATTGTATCACCATTTGTCCTAGCTATATCCCCATTATATCATCATCTCCTCAGATGTATCCCAAGAAAACGTCCATTGTAACCCTGGAATTATATCGCCCTTACCCACCGGTAATTTAACAGTTTTATGTGCAAAATGGCCCATTCATGAATGTTTTACGTATCAATATCATGATTTTTCATAGCAAAATAATAAAATACTGGAGGGTATATAAATCAGGCATTGAGTGCCATCAATTATATAATCACTATTCATCACTATTATATAATGAATAATCCAGTCATCACTATTATTTTTACTGTCAACCGCTATTAATCTTAAACACTATTACTCATAAGAGGACATGATCAAAAGGTGTCATTTTACAATAATTATCAAACACATTGAATAATACGTAAGAAAATAGTGTTATTCCATATGGATGAAAACATATACCTTCTTAGGAAATATGTTGGGGTATAGTTTAGGGGGTTAAGTACCTTCTCAGACAGTGTTTGGCTTCATAGAGATTATGAATAATGATATATATATATATATATAGTTATATATACATGAATATCCACTATGTATATCCCATATCAACTATGATTAATGATAATGATCATATTGATTCATATTGTAATAAATGATAAGCTAATAGTACTGATCATGAGATGGTCTTATGAGTCTTATGATTAGTACTACTAGCTTATTTCTGATAGCTTTTCTCATAGTACATAGTACCAATTAGCACTAGCTTTTTACTATCAAAACTTATCAGTTCTATCATAGTTCCCTTTACTGTTGGGATAGCTTTCCACCTCAGGTGGGACCCTTTGTGGTGGCTGCCCACTTGGATCGTGATGTGATCAAGAGCGACCAGGCGCGGCTGTTTCGGAGATTTTTCCTGGCCAGGGAAACCCAACCCGGATCTTTTTTTAAATGCTTGTCGTGGTAAATTTAGGCCTAGAAAGGGAATTGCAACTAGATTTTAAAGTCCAATTTTTGTTGAGTGTGATTTTTGAAGCAGATGTTAATCAGCGAAAGTCAACAACCAGAATAGCCTCAACAGGACAAACTGTCATGAAACCAACATTAAATTCAACCACAAAGGGAATCAAACATCATAAGAAAAGTTGGAATTGTAAGACAATTTATGTAAACCGTGAGATGGACTGGGGTTGTGAATTTTTGCGCACCCGTCTTGGTGGGGATGATTCTGACTTGCAGCTTGAGGACGGGTCAAAATTGTCTATTCCAAACCCAAACCCATAAAATCATGGGATAATAATGGATAATAATGGTTAATGATGGTTAATGATGGTTAATGATGATTAATGATGATTAATATCTGGTTGGTGGTTTGGAACATGTTTCTATTTTTCCATATATTGGGAACAATCATCCCAACTGACTAATCTTTTTCAAGATGGTGAAAATCACCAACCATTTTTACAATATTATTGATTTTGTGGGTCCGTCGATACCTCATATTTCACCCATCCTCAAAAAAGTCATTCTGGATTCTAGATTTGAGGAAGATGAATACAAGGTGGTGCAGTGGTGCCCACAAGCTACAGATACATCCATCCTGTTCAAGCCATCTAACGAAAGGTGTATGCAACCAATGATTCACCGGATGTTTGCTGGATTGGTCGACGAGTCTAGATTCTGGTTATTTAACCTAGCCATGGTATAGATGGCCCATAGAAATAGATGGTTTACCTATTAAAAATGTTGGATCTTTCCATGGCTATGTAACAAATAACCAGAGTCTAGGTTCTCATCATTTTCCGCATTGCTAGCCCGTTTTTTTCACCAGGTGTGGCCGCCCTGCCTCAGGTGAAAGTTGGAAGTATGGCGGATGCGTGACCTGGGAGCTGAGGAGCTGAGTTGATATATGCTTGGTGGATGGTGTCTGGATAGAAAACCTGGCTATTACATGCTATTACCATGGTGATTTAATGGTGACTTAATGCTGATTGGATGGACATTTTATGGTGATTTAATGTTGATTTAATGGGACTTTATAGTGATTTAATGGATTATGAATGGGATATAGCCTCTGGTAATTTGTTACATAGCTATCCAAAATGACCATAGCAATACTGGATTTACCCATTGAACATGGTGATTTTCCATAGTTTTGTGTATGCTTACCAGAGGGTACCTTGTATTCAAAAAATTGGAGGAATTTCACTGATATCCCAAAACTTAGGAACTCGTCAAGATCCCCGTAACGTTGTTTTAGATATACCGAAGTGTAAGTATGGATAGACTTATAGCATGGTGCAATTTTAGTGTGCCCCTGATTGGGTATAACCTTGGTTTAGTATTTTACTGCGTTTGTTTCTGGCCAGGATCGGAGGAATGATACAGGATCCCTAAGATTCAACACCCCCAATACTGGTAAAATCACACTATACCCTCTGGTAAACTAACATAACTATGGAAAATCACTATAAATGGCCATGTTCAATAGCTATGGTAAATTACCGGAGGGTAAATTGTTATTTTGAGATCTTCCAACTATTTGTTGGTTGATATCTGTTGAATAGTCTATTTGTGCTGTTCCTCTTGTGTTTAATCCTTGATGATTGGGAATCAATGATGCTTGGCGGAGATGATTCTGCAGCAGAAGTGGAACATGTGAACCCAACTACAAATCACTACAGGAGTACTGCGTCAACCTGACTTTGGAAGACAAAGATCCTGATTAATTCCTGTTTCATTCGCTCGAGGTGGATATCGTTGGAGTCCACTCCGACTTATTGAAAGTGGCAGCCAAGATCCTTGACAAAAGGTTCATGGACAATGCCCAACTCAAAGAGAAGATACACATAGATACACTCCTACAAGCGGTCAGTGATCAATTGAGGTTGTTCACCACAGAGCTCAGCTCAGATGTTGTTTGAGGCAATACACTGCGCAACTGCGCGAAAATACCAATCGAGGAGCTGAGGCGTACATACAAACCAGCTACTGTAACCCCCAAAAAAATGCAGGGTATCCAAGATAGGCAAAGATAAGGTTTGATTCATGAATATCCGGATATATTGCCTAATAAAGATGGTCGAGTTCCAACAGTCACAATTAAATTGGTTATTGCATGTGATTTCAAATGAGTGATTCCATGAACTCATGGATAAATTCACCATATTTCCTCGTTACCCTCTCGTTATTTAACATAGCCATGGGAAATGGCCCATAGAAATAGATGGTTTACCTATTAAAAATGGTGGATTTTTCCATGGCAAACTGTTAGTCATAACCAGATGGTAGATTCTCAAAATTTTACCCTCTGGTAAACATAAAAAAAGCTATGGAAAATCACCATTGTGTATGGGAAAACTCACTATTTCTATGGCCATGGCTTCAAGTTGGCATCTTACCCTCTTGTAAACTAACATGACTATGGAAAATCACAATTTTTAATTGGAAAACTCACTATAAATGGCCATTTTCAATAGCTTTTTGTATGTTTACCAGAGGGTAGCCATCACAGCTGAAGTCCCATGTTTTGCTGTTGGTGAAATCACTAGGTACTTAGCCAGCCACTTGGAGGGCGAGGACTACGAGCTGCCGGGGCAAGCTGGATCGCGGCTTGGAGCATGGGCCGAGGAGCCTGCAGAGAATTCATCAGAATATGTCATAATAGTAGTTACGCTATATATATATATAGTATACACATATACATATTAATATATATATATATATAACTATATATATATAATTATATATAACAATTATATATACATATATAAATATATACATATACATATACCTATATATACATATACATATTATTATACATATACATATACATATATACATATATACACACATATATATATATACACATATATATATATATTATGATGCATATATTATTATCATTATTATTATCATTATTATTATTAATCATTATTATTATTATATTTGTGTGTGTATATGCATATACATATAATATATGTGTATATTTTTAGTACGTGCAATATAAGAAAGCATATTAGAACTAACTCCCATGTCAGATCCGCTTTTAGCGATGATGTCTCCGCATGTGTTACTGCAAGGACACTAACATTATATACTTATCATATATTTGATATGATAAACATCATAATATGTATATATGCATATGGATATAAGTATTATACATCATTACTTACAAGCATCATATATTTGATACATGTATATACGTTGAATTAAGATGTTCAATTCTTTGGGTTGTTCATTGAAGTGACAGCCACTGACCTTTTTTTTTGAAGCAAGGTACCGAAACCTGGGAGTAATGAAATGATGACACCGGCCAAGATCCAGAGACATGGCTGTCTTGATTGGTTTCGCGGGACCATCGGACCATTGTTGTGGTTTCAAGTGGTGATGACTCATGTCAGAAATGGAAAAACCAGATTAACAATTCGATGTTGTGGTTTTCCCAAGGAAAATCATGAGTCAGATTAACAATCATAATAGTACTATAACGTTGGTTGATGAATGATGAACAAAGAGGAGTAGTGAAGTGACTGCCCCGATGAACCCATAGAAACAAACGATGCCCTCCGGTAATCAAATGTGGCGATTGGAAACCCACTAGAAATGGGGGTTTCAATAGGAAAATCACATAAATAGTGCATTTTCCATTGCCATGTTTGATTACCGGAGGGTATCAACAATACAATCCCCCTACTATTAAAATTATTAAACACCCGCTCAATGGTCTCAAATATGTGCAAATCTCTGTGGGAAATAGCTAACAATCACCTAATTACTCAATGTTTTGTTCAAACGATGCTCAATATCCATTAGTCCATTTGTGAATATCGCCAGCAAAACCCGTTGATTCCCCTCCGGGCCCCCAATCATCCCATCTATTTTTCCATCCCGTGTTGATTTCTTATAGATACCAATGCTTACGGGTTTTCCCATTCCACGTGGTCACTCCTTAAATCACTGGCCATCTCAGGAACCTAAACTGGAGGTACCTACCATATATAAGGCCTATGTAAAGGCTATGTAAGGGAATATCCCCACAAAATATGGCCTTATATGATACAGTATCTCGATTTTAGGATCCTGAAATTCCCATTCCTTAAATTTCATACACATCCCAACTCATCTTGCTGACATCTTTATTGTTTACGGGGTTCACCCACCAGTTTGTTTCTCGAAAAAAAAATGGCCAGTTTCACCCAGGTGGACGGCGGAGAGCGCATCGGTGTCTTGGGTGATTTCCGCAACCATTTTGGGGGACTTCACCAGCAAAAAATGGAGGAGGATAAGTTAAGGTTTGCTGAGTTGGCTGACATACATCACATGTCACATGTCTTTATGGTATAATTATCAATGTTTTATTCGATCGAATTGATGGGGTGAAACTAAACAAAGAAACCTTTCAGTGGAGGGCGCTACATGGCTAAGGTTTTGAGATCAGATTTTTTTGAAGAGAAACTCTGCATATTTCAAACGATGTAGTTTAGTATAGCATCCCCAAAAAAGATAGCAACCTTACATTCCTACTAAAAATAGTGGTAAACTATACAGGTAAACTATGGTAAACTATTGTTCTATTTTTGGGGGGGTAACGGTATATCTACACATAGAATCACATAGATAAATCTGGATCAATCATAACGACCCGACGACGTCGCTGTACGTATATAATGAGGAAGTTGGAGTAACTATCTCCAACTAACAACCAGTAACGAATGTTGGCGTGGGTGGACCCCCTAAGTTGTCTCAAAAGTCAGAAGTTGGCGGCAGAAAACTGGCCGACGGTTGATGGTTTCAGAGGAGAACTCAATAAAATCGGACCATGTTGAAATGAACGGTGTTATGCATAGGGCTTCAAACAAGGAAGGGGAGCCCCCAATAATAGATCGTTCATAAGCCCTGAGAAATCATAAACGTTGTTGCTGGTGGTGAATAAGGCCTGAACAAGCCCTTACTGTAGCCTTTTTCCCAGCTGAATCCATTTCTGCGTCCCGTTGCCATATTGGAACCTGCAGGTGCACGATAGCGATGAAGCCGATCCCGTGTCTTGGCAGAAAGGGGAGTTGAGAAGACAATGCAAGGTGTCGTTTGGATTCATCTTTGGGGAATTGATGAACAGGAACTTAACATTAAATCTTAGTTTAGAGGTTCAAAATGAATCCAAATGATACATTACTTCAGGATTTGTCCCACAGGTATCTTATGGGACATGAAATCCGATCACATCCGATCCCCTTGAGGTAGTTCACATGGACAAGCGGAAGTCAAATCCCCAAGACAATAAACCCACTGCTTTCAAGGCCGTGTTTAATACATGGATTTCTATGGGATGTACCACTTTGCCAGGAATGGAGCAGGCGAGTAGGAAATTCAGGAATTCTAGCCATTTCTGGTATGTTGAAATCAAATGAAATCAAATAAAACCCATCATACCCATCCGATGTTAGGCATGCATCAGTGTGCAAGTAGTAAAATGGGATGGAGCATTTCACGGAACTCCAATGTTGGGAGCCCCATGCTCAGTAGTTGTTTATATATGTTGTTTAATGTCCATGTGTTGTTTCTTTCATATCAATTTACAATACTACACTACATGTTTGGGACATACATTTTAATACTGTGTTTTTGGCTCAATGGCCTTGCAAATTCCTAAACTCGGTTGGATCATCAGGAAGTAGCGCCACTTGATGAGCCGGTTTTTTCAACCAACTCGATGTGGTAAACACAATGGGTGGTTTCAACGCACCCAAAAAAGGATATCTATGATTCTTACCATGTGTTACTAGTTTAATCATCTTATTTTACCACATGGAGGTTTCCTAAAATGGTGGCTACCCCTAAACGTCCTAAATCATTCAGGTGATTTTTGGATTTTTCCATGATATATCAAGCATCCGAATTTGGAGGTATCTCGTTGCTTTAATCTCCATCACATATCAATTTTCACCATGTTGGGCCCAGGATCAGCTGATCAAAAAGGCACATGCAACCGTTGGGTTCCAACCTCAGAGGGCGAGAGAAACGAATTGTGTTTTTTCTCATAGAAAAAGACACATGATTTAATGATATCCCATAGGATCCATGGTGCTGGTATATATGCTAACATTGGGGGATATTGGGGGTATATTGATGGGATCCATGTTACCATATATAGCATACATGGATCCTATGAGTATTTAATGATGATGTAAGTCTAAAAGAAAAAATAATAATCTGATGATCAATCATTTAATTCATCATTTTGAATTGATATGACACTGGCTAGATGGTAGAAGTAACCAAGCTGTTTTGAGAACGGATTAAGGGGTGCCCAACCTTCAGACAAAGGCAGGAGAATGATGAGACAATTTTTCTGTAAATGCGTAGGGGTGACGTTTTGGAGATCCAATATCCATTGGGGATATTTATACAAGGTGGTGCCCCCGCAGTTATAAGTTGGTTTATTAACCATAGTAAATATATATATATCATATCTACTGGTTGGTGGTTTGGACCATTTTTTTTCAGATATTGGGAATAACAATCCCAAATGACGAACTCATATTTTTCAGAGGGGTTGAAACCACCAACCAGTCTACCATAAACCATAGTGAAATTGGAGTTATACACCGACTTCGCTAACGAACTGGGACACCACCTTGTACGGATCCTTTTTTGGCGGGGTACTTGGAGGATCATTCCTCGGAATTTCCTGGTCCAAAAATATCAAACGTGTGGTTTTCCTATATATACACTGTGAGGCCCCCGTTCGATAGCTAAGTTGGTTTATAACTCCAATAACTATGGTTTACGGTACTTATAACTATAGTTACCGGGGCTTATAAACCAACTTATAACTGGGGGGGTCACATTGTAAGATTTTATAAGTGGATCTAAGATGATCTAAGTAGGCTCCTATCGCTCGAACCCAAGCAACTAATCACACATTGGAATCTCCAAGTGGGGAATCAGGGACCAGGATCGTTGTGACAAACTTCACCCAGATCCCAGATATGTGTGTGTTTTTAAATATGTTTCAGGGAACATTCCCTACAAAAAAACATGGTTTCTAAGGAAGTGTTAAAGGTGGAAGGGATTATATATGTATAGTTGGTTGGTGCTTTGGAACATGTTTTTTTTTCGTATATTGGGAATAATAATCATCCCAACTGACTATCATGTTTTTCAGAGGGGTTCAAACCACCAAGCAGAAACGAAAGAATTTAAATCCCAGCCTAGGGATTGAACTGTTGAACATGGGTCCAGTTAAATCTTGAATGTTGCAGCTGAAGAACTCACTACAGATTGAAAAGCCTCGTTTGCCTACGTTTGGGTAACATGCACCTAGCAGGATTGTCAAAATTACAGTGGTGACCTTCAAAATGGAGGAAATTCTAACTTCCTTTGGCAATTTTCTGCGTGATTCTGTCGCCATCCTCCAACCCTACACTTTGCCAAAGTTAGTTGCAAGTCTTCACGTTGACCTGCTCCGTGGCTTGAAAAGTGTGTAGTTAGTCAGCCATTAATGGCAAAGAATTGGGTAGATGTTAATGCGGGAATGATGGCATTGGGTTTCCCATATTACTGAAGATGAATCTTCTTGATGATATTTGTGTAGGGAAATAAAGCAGGCTTTCTCACTGACATAGTCACGTACATACTTGCTTACTTCTATATACCCAACTACTGTAATGTGGCAAACCCAATGCCATAAACCATCCGCCCCAAGTCATCCAATTTTTAGGTGGGAAACTCGCAACCATTCCCCCCCCCAAAAAAAAAATGCTAGTATCTTGTTCTTTATTGACTTTCCCAGGCTTTTCCCACCATTAAGCATTATAAAACATCTTTTCCCATGAAATCACCATATTTTGTAGGTTAAAAATATCATAATCACCATATTTTCCCATGAAATCACCATATTTTGTAGGTGAAACATGGTGAACATGTCCCCATTTTGGGTGTGTTGGGCAACTTTTCCGGCTTTCCGCTCCTAGGACTCGGTGGGGTTCCTCCCGCATGGAACATGGCTCGCTGCAAGCTGAGTCGCACTTCAGGTGCCACCGGCAGCGGCAGCAGTCGCGGCGGATCGTCATGAAATCTATGGAGGGGTTCAGAAAAAGCCAGAAATTTGCCAGAAATCCATATAAATCCATATAAATCCATATAAATCCCAAAAAAAATCCCCAAGAAAGTCACGGGTCAAAGAAGTTAAAATCCTAATTCATGGTCGAATTGTGGATGTGAGGGTAAACCTCTGGGGAGATGAGCCTCTGGTAGTCAAACATAACCATGGAAAGTTACGCATTTCTATATACTGTAGATGGTTTATGAGGGAAACCCAACAATGAACCTACCATTTGGGGATCGTTTATCCCACCCATAGAAATGAAACATGTGGGGAAGGTGTATTCTTGGGTTTTGCACATTGAAGATTGCCATGTCTAATGGCAATCTGTTGGATTACCAGAGGCCAGCATCTCTTTGTCGGATCAGCATTTGCCATGATGCCTTGCATTTCTCCATTATGGATATATGGAGGTGGGTCAACATTTACAGGACATGGGAAAGATAGGGAAAGATTACACCATGCGTTTACCAGCTATCTTTATGATTATGAGTGAACAGGGGTTTCGGACCCATAGCCAGATGTGTCATATGTGATTGTTTCAGATTAAGACTGATTGTTTGGTGGCCTTGTTTGGGGTTAAAACGTGAATCCCCAGAATTTGTTGGTGAAATCCCCAGAAGAACATCCTTTTTTTTGGCTTCTTTGAATGGGTGAACATTTTTGGTGAACGAGACACCCAAAAAGCTCCAGCTTTTCTCAGGAGTACATGTCCACACTCGAAAGAGGATGGCACGTTGGCGGCTTGGGTTCGCGGCCTTAGCCTATCGCTGACCCCGATTTCGACGAAGATTTCAAAAGGTCATAAGGGTGTACCCCAATAGCTGGATGGTTTATTTCATGGACAATCTGAACATATATTAGGGATGATTTGGGGTTATATAATGTTATATACCTCCATTTTAGGAAACCACCATATGATATTTCTTTTGGAAGACAACTGATATCAACTGATCATGTGAGTAACCGACAACATTATTGTAATATACTGATTTAGTCTTTGCTTCGCCTTGGCCTTTCCGAGGTTCCACAAAACCTTCATAACCGATAGGGGACGACCCTATACCGATACCCCATTTGTGATACGTCCGGGAATATTGAAATCCTCACAACCGATAGGGGACGACCCTAATTTGTGCATGGCCTTAAATTTAACATATATGTTTTGTCCACTACTCATGTGGGATATTGCAATGGTATCCATGTTTAAACCTTGCAGGAAATAAGATACAACTAAAGGTGCTGACCTGAGGAGAGTCGAATATTGCATCTGGTTGAAGTTTGTTTTCTAACACGTGGAGTAGACGATTCCAAAATCGAGAACAATCGGTGGCCAACATGGTGGGAACTACTGGTGGAAACAGCAATCCGTGATCTGGATAAAATTTGGTCATCCGGGTACTTGGACAGTCGAGGTATTTGCCATAGTAACATCATATGGCATAATATGGCTATACTTTTAATATATGTGTAATATGTATATATGTATATGTATTATATATATATACCTGCGCAATACCCAGCCAAAACAGAAACTGCAGAAACGATGCTGTGTATCTAAGACTAGCCGGATGCTGGAGACATTCCGAATTGTGAGGCCATTCCTTATGAGAAGCAGCCGATGTACACATTCTATGAGAAGCTCGGTGGTGATTTCAGCGTTCAGCCCACATCGGGAAGTGTCGGGATGGGTTGGTCCAAGTTAAAGACTTGGTGACTTCGGCGGGTATGACTTGACTTTTTCGTACCCAATTACGTCCACATGCCATGAATAACGTGTTGGTTGTAGAATATTTGGTGATACCTACTCCGGTTGGTGGTTTGGAACATGAATTTTATGACTTTCCATATATTGGGAATGTCATCATCCCAACTGACGAACTCATGTTTTTCAGAGGGGTAGGTATACCACCAACCAGATAGTGATACCTACTCAAAACATCTTGAGATCAGTCCAAAAACAATCAAGGATGTACCAAGGGTGGAATCAGCTGGTTGGTTTCAAAGCTATACCCGGCCGCCTCTTGAAGGCTGTCCAAGACTTGAATTTCAGAAGTCGGAAAGGCATGTTTTTTTTTTTCCCGGATAGAACACTCAAATGTTGTTTAGATCAATGGATTGGTTTAAGGGAAAAATTACAGGACACCCCCATATTTAATGGTAAAAACCATGGTTTCCTGCAGATTTTCCCTTAAACCAACGCATTGATTAGACAATGCTGGATATGTCCATTCTATCTCCATCTTGGTGAAATCCTAACAAAACCAATGTGATCTCCAGTGAGGGTGACCACATTCGATTCAGGATAGGCAGAAGCTGTCACAAAATATCTTCCTCGAGATACCCGAGGCTGAAACAGGGCTGATTTTCCAGCCATTTTTGATTACTGGAGGTAGAGTTTGATTCCTTCAAGCATTAGATCCCTTGATTTCAGAAGTGAGAAAGATATAGAAAGATCGACTCCTGGAACCAACACCAGACATGTACAGAACCCAAAAGGCACCATGCCATACAAGTCTAAATGCCAGTGGTTGTTCAAGTCTGTGCTTCCAGGGATAACATTTGCTATAGTTGAAACTAGCATGCCACCAATTACCTGCTGTTCCCAATGGTAGCCAGGTATGAAATCTAGCCGTGGAGTGGTTTTCACAGTCAGGCTTGGGATCGATGGTATCTATGTCAAGCCCGGTTTCCCCTCAAAAATATGCGTACTAAGTAAGGCAGCTAGCTTTACACCGCAAAAAAAGGTCGATTTAAGTGAGAGTTTACCACTTAGACTTAAATGTTGCAAGAAATAGATGTTACAAGACATATATCCAAGCAAAACGAATGTGTGTAATGTAAAATCACTGTAAATATGTATTTTTTTTTACATCCAAAGATGTCAGATGTTTGTCCGTTTTCCTGGCGATTTTTGGTGGCTGAGGAAAAATTCTGAGGAGGCGGCCAAGGAGGGCTGCTGGGGCTTTGGGGCCTTTTTTCTGTGCAAACAATGGGTGATTTCACCAACTGACAAAGGGTTTAAACATGGTTAAACATAGTGAAACCAGGACAGTCTAGGTTGAAGATGATTTAAAAAAGAAGGTCAAATTGTATTTAGGCAGCAATCATTGGATTGTGAGCCACCAAAGATAAGGTCTTGACACATCTTGACCCACCAAACATTGAAAGTCTAAAAGGTGGTGCCACCCAGTTATGAGTTGGTTTAGTTTCACCATGTTTCACCCCATTAGTTAGTTTGATCTATGTGCATATATATATATACATATGTATACATAAAATATATATATATATATATATATACACATACATATATATATATATATATGTATATATGTTATATATATATATATGTACAGTATATGTATACCAGAAATCCTAGTTCCTCTACATCTACCTTTAAGCAACATTCGCCTCGTTCCTTGGGCGGGACGGTGCCAGGAGCCCATCATTCGCTTGCCGGAAGAGAAGCGGAAGGTGACGATGACAGCGTTGGGGCTCCTGTTTGGTGCACGGCAGCGGTCTGGTCCATTTAATGGTGTTTAATGGGATTTAATGGTGATTTAATGGAATGTAATTGGGCTTTATGGTGATTTCATGGTGATTTAATCTGATTTTAGTGGATTCTATGCGATTTTATTGTGATTTAATGGTGTTTAATAGGATTTTCTGGTATTTTATGGTGATTTAATGGTGACTTAATGATGATTTTAATGGATTTAGCTACAATATTATATAATCTAGCGGTTACAGGATGGGGCCACCAGTCGAGCTCGCATTGAGCTGCCTAAAATAAATGGCTAAATTCGATGGTTTATGGTAGATATAACGAACTAGTGTTAATGGGGGTTACCCTCTGGTAAACTAACATAGCTATTGAAAATGGCCATAGAAATAGTGAATGTTCCCATGAAAATTGGTGATTTTCCATAGTTATGTTAGTTTACCAGAGGGTATAGTGCGGCAAAAAAAAAAAAGTGCTGTGAATGTTGGTTTATATGAAGAGCCCATGAATACTGTAGTATCAAGAATGAATCATAAACAGTCATACTGTAAACATGATTATTGGAGTTATAAACCAACTTAGCTATCCAGGGGGCCGCACTTTGTCAGTTGTTGTGGCTAACAAAAAACCTGGCTTGCTGGGAGATTCCCATGTCTATATATATATATATATGATGATATGGATGATATGGAAAGGATCAAATCCAACTAAATCGATGTGCATTGGTGAGCAGAGCATCGAACTATTGCTGGACACCAGCCATGTGTCTTTTTTTGTCGGGGGGTAGTCATGGCTTTGCCGAAACATGGCACCATGGCATTTCAAGGGCAACACACCATGGGTTTTTCCAGGTTGACAGAGCGCCCTTGTGTTCTTCCATGACTAGCAGGGTCCATTTTTTTTATTGGCACCATTTGGACATTTGTGAGATGTTAAGATTCGGGGGACCTGTGATTTTTGTCGATGTTTGTTAGCCAACTGTGATACCCATGCATTTTTCACGTGCTGTACGTGTTGACTTTTTATTCTTCTGACGGTCTAGATCTAAAGATTCATACACCGAGCTGCATCCCTGGAAATCTGCCATCCACGGTTGCGAGTTTCAACATATAGATAATTATTAATAATATGTTGCGTGCCTGTAAATCCCATCGTTTGTAACAGAGCTGCAGGAGAATCAAGAGATCCCTTCCAAAAGGCTTGCGGATTTGTTGGCAATCTGCTTAGACCTTGTCAAGGGTAAACACCAATCGCCAAGCGATTTCGCGCCATGAACACGTATGCCTGTGGCGATGTAGCTCATTCAGAGAGTCAGGATCCTTCAAATCCCCTTAAAACTCCCTAAACTTGGTATTTATGCAGGGACCATCAAGTGTTTTTGAGGGTCTAGGTACGCCTACTTGGATGTGCACCCTGCTTGGTCAGTGGTTTATAATGACATTCAACTCATATAATTACAAACATTACATGCCATAATAATCCATAATATAGCCAGGGACATTTTATATTATGTATGTATATATATATGTACATATTAATATGTATACATGTATTATATTATATATTATATGTATATATAGCCTCGTCCCCGCTTCTGGAACTGCGGACCACCTGAATTAGGTTGGGAAAACTTGTCCATTCCGGGACGAAATTTCGTCCCGGAATTTACAAGTTTCATTTGGGTCATTTTCATCATCATCATCCTCATCATCATCAACATCATCATCAGCATCATCGTCATCATCATCATCATCATCATCATCATCACATCACATCATCAGCATCATCATCATCATCATCATCATCATCATCAGCATCACATCATCATCATCATCATCGTCATCATCATCATCATCATCATCATCATCCTCGTCCCCGCTTCTGGAACCGCGCAAACCTGAATTAGGTTGGTAAAACTTGTCCCGTTCACATGAACGTTAACATCCTGCCGCAAGTTCACATGAACGTTAACATCCCACCCCACCCCCCACCCCACCCCGCATGTGCGTAGCATCAACTGCTGCCGCAAGTTCACATGAACGTTAACATCCCACCCCACCCCCCCCCACCCCACGTGTGCGTAGCATCAACTGCTGCCGCAAGTTCACATGAACGTTAACATCCCACCCCACCCCACCCCCCACCCCGCGTGTGCGTAACTGCTGCCGCAGTTCCAGAAGCCAGGACAAGCCTATATATACATATATATATATTTAGTGACTGATAATATGGTTGGTTGATATCCACTTGCGCCTGGGACCTCCAAGACTGAGGTCCTTCCACCTCACCCGGCATCCCGCCAGCGGCACGGATGTGCTGAAAGGCCAGCTCGATGATTTAATTTGATTTTAGGGTGATTTTATTTGATTTTATGGTGATTTCAAGGGATTTAATGGAATTTAACAGGATTTTCTGGTGATTTCAAGGGATTTAATGGAATTTAACAGGATTTTATGGTGATTTCACGGGATTTAATGGGATTTAATGTTATTTTATGGTGATCTCAATGGTGTTTAGTGAGATTTTATGGTGATTTAATGGAATGTAATTGGACTTTTTGGTGATTTCATGATGATTTAATGTGATTTTAGTGGATTTTATGCGATTTTATTGTGATTTAATGGGGTTTAATGGGATTTAATGCCTCTGGTAATTTGCCACATAGCTATTCAAAATGGTCCATGTAGTTGGCACACGCCGCATAGACGGCCGTGTGCCTTTCACCATTTCTCAATATTTTCCAGGGTTTTGGAACGAGGTTGATACTACGTCCACGAGGGTCTGTGGGTGGGGTGGGGTGGAGCATGTTAACGTTCCTTGTAAGTTGCACACGTTTTTGATGTTCCGCACCTGCCAGGATGTGGGGCAGGGGCTGGGTTGGGGTGGGGCATGTTAACGTTCCTTGTACGTTGCAGACGTTGTTGATGTTCCGCAACTGCCACGATGTGGGGCAGGGGCTGGGGTGGGGTGGGGCATGTTAACGTTCCTTGTACGTTGCACACGTTGTTGATGTTCCGCAACTGCCACGATGTGGGGCAGGGGCTGGGGTGGGGTGGGGCATGTTAACGTTCCTTGTACGTTGCACACGTTGTTGCACACTGTTCTTTCTCCAATAGTTTAACTCGTGTTTCAATGGGCTTGGCGACAGCACCAAGGACCCATGTCACCAACTCAGTTCTTCACTGCACTGCAACGTCTCCTGAAACATTGAAAAAATGGGACGAAACGAAGATAAACAGATGTTCCTTGCAAGAAGTGCTGATGAACAAACGTCAGTGCGAGTTGCAAAAAGTGACCGAAACGCCACGGCCGTCTGTGCGGCGTGTACCCATGTAGTTCGTTTATTTACCTATTAAAGATGGTGATTTTCCATAGCAAACTGTTACTTTACCAGAGGATAATCACCAATTGCCAACAGCCATTTTCGGATCCTGCGGATATCTTGTTCATGTATGTGCGATGGTGTCGTTTGTGGAGTGTAGTTTCTTATGGCTATATGAGATATCATAATATGAGATATTCTCACTTATATAGTTTCTGAGTTGATTGCCCAATATATGCGAGAGAGACGTGGTTGATTTTACGTGAAGATGAAGATCCAAGACCTGCAAAGTGCCCCAATTTCATATAAGCCGGAGACAAGTGTCGCATCCATGCAGCAGAAGTAGACCCGGAACAAGTCGACAGAGAGTTGCAAAAGTCCATGCTTCTTTCCATCGCTTGAGGGCTCAGAAGGATCTCACATCATGTTCGATCTCACGTCATGTTCACTTTTTTGTCACCATGCCACCATGTTTGGGGTGGTGCCGGCCTTGCGGCTGGTTGGTGGTTTGGGACATGGGTTCTATTTTTCCATATATTGGGAATAATCATCCCAACTGACTCATATTTTTCGGAGGGGTTGAAACCACCAACCAGACAAGCTCATCAAAGGGACAATTGCAGTATATTGCAGTACGCTTTGGTAATTTCTAAAGCAAATCCCCACGGGTAGATCGGGTAGATCATCCTGGCGAAAGTGTCATCTTCGAGCCTCAAAGTTATACCACCTAGTACGTGCCAACCGCAAGCGCAAAAATGAGTTGGTTTATGTTGGTTTAACATCCGTTAATTATATAACAGTTGTAATTACCATAAAGCCAAGTTATTTCAGCAACCTTGAAACCAGCTTCGCAAACGAACTGAGGTAACTGGAGCGCCACTTTGCAGGTATAAGTAATGATCATCCTTGGAGGGTTAGGCCATGGCCATGGGGGATCCATGGGGATCCATTTCCAGAATCCAATAGTTCTTTATTTTAGTGGTTAGTGGCCCATGCCATAAGCCATCCCCAATATTAGCATAAATGGTTTGTATGAACCATCCCCACATGGAAACGGTTTATATTAAAAAAAGGGTCTAGCACATGACCCAATGCCAAGAAACCAACGACAGATGTTCCAATCTGCTCCCAACACCAGGCAAAATTCCTCCGGCTGGGGGTGTGAAGGCCTACGCTGCTGAGTTGGGGACCTCAGGTTCTTCGAAGTTTATCCAGGATTGCGGGATTTATTCCAAGAAAGGAGCCCAACATAGCCTAACCCCATGGTTAGTCCAATTAGATAGAGGTTATGGAGGTTGGGTTCCAGGGACATGGTTTTTCACCACAAATTTAAGACGTTGTTTTTTTGTATTTTTTTGTGACGTTTAAAGCAAGACCTTGGCACTCTGGCGAACATCAAACAGTTGGTTCAGCTGGATGGTAATTCCTCCAATTGTGGTATTATATCCAACCAGTCCCACTCAAGGAGTAGGTTGTAACCGCAGTTGTAAGAGGACTGACCTTACTTAGCCCACGTACAGCCAGGGGTATACTCAGTAGGATGAACCACCAAGTAGGTCTTGTTCCCATTCCCATGCATCTGCTGTGAAAAGCACTTAAAAGGAAGGGATTTGCCAAACAGAACAAGTAGATGCAAACATATACCAAGCAATTCTGGAGACTAATATGGAAGCACATCAGAACGGGGAACCCGGGAACCCGACAAATTGGTAGACCAGCAGGACCAATTATGGAACTTCGCAACACTTCTGGGGGGTCAGCTGTCAAATAGGTCGTTTGAGCATGATCCAACTCCACTGCTGTAAGGGTTCTGTGTACCGGTTTGGGAGCCAACCCAAAGGTGGTTTGCAGAAAACATCAGGGAAACTCACAACGTTAAAAGATAAATGCAGGGTTTCCAGGGAGAAAAAAATCGCCCCAAGATATCAGATGCTTTTAACGTTAACCCCCTTCTAGCTATAGATGACCATGAGGTATCCATAAATAAATAATATAATATATCATATATATTTTATCATATATTACATACCATATACCATCTTATAATCCCAATATATCCCACTATATCCCACTTCTAACTGGTCTAGCCCACCCCCTGGTTGGAATGAACCCCCTGGTTCTTCTCCAGAAGACGGCCGCATTGGTTGCACTCGTTGCACACTGAGTACCTGGCTGGACAAAGAGCACCTGGGAATGAAAGATCCGACGCTTCGCCCTGGCGATGCAGATCTACAGGAGATGCGTTCATGGGATGGGTAGATGTGGACACCAAAATTTTTCGGGAGATGGGTACAGAACCAGAATGAGTCAAAAACATTCGAAAACAACAGTTTAACATAGTTTAACCCTTTCAGAATTGTGTGTGTTTTATTGTTTTTTGTTGACAAGAAACCATGGGTCAATGTCTGGGTCAATCAACGAGTAGTTTTAACCAGAACGGATTATGAAGGGGATTTCATGGTGACATGGATAGAAAAACAGCAGGGGGTCCACAGGCCTGTCACTGAAGCTGGGGGAGACTTACAGCAAGGTTTATCACTTGTGGTTTTTATTGTCAACGTATATATAGATATATATGGGGGTTCCTAAAATATGGGTACCCAAAAATTGATGGTTTATAATGGAAAATGAATGTTTGATTTATAAATGGGTGATTTCGGGGGTACTTCCATTTTAGGAAACCTCCATATATACATATATATAAATACATATTAAAAAGTGTCTCGTTTTTTGCTCATTCTAGCTGTTCTAGAAGGTTTACTATTTGCTGTATTTGCATGCTGATTGCATTGCAGCATACCGTTTTGAGGTATTGTTCCTGTTAAGCCTGTCAAGTCCATGTGTGTCTGAAAATAGTGGTTGCAATGAGTATCAACCCAGTGGGAAGGTAGTTAGTAGCAAATAATATTGACTGTAATCAATGGCCATTTCAGGAACCTAAATGGAGGTACCTACCATATATAAGGCCTATAGAAGGCCTATGTAAGGGAATATCCCCACAAAATATGGCCTTATATGGTACAGTACCTCCATTTAGGATCCTGAAATTCCCATTGATGTAATGGGAAGATCGTGGGAAAGAGAACTAGCACATATGATGCCTGGGTTTGTCCGAAAATATATTCTATACCTACATTTAATCCTTGACCAAATCATGTTCCCTATGAAATTAATTGACATTGCCCATTTTGTGCTATTTCACCATCAACCTACCCATGTGCCACGAAACCTGGAGAGATCAATGACGACTCGAGGGAAGAAGTTGAAACCTCCAATTAGGACGTTATTTGGGTAAGCCTTGGATTGGTACATCTATAGTTTTTAGAACTTCATTTTTCTCGAAATTGGAATATGTTAGAAGATCATCGAAAAATCACAAAACAGGAGGTATAATCCCATATAATCCCCAGTGGGCCACGTGATGTTTCCCCAGGAAACAATCAAGAAGAAGGCAGCCAAGGCTGAACCGCTCGCCGAATTCGAGGACAGTCTTCGGATCCTGGATGGTTCAACTGCTGACCATGGATGGAATATCTCCATTGCTTGGTCCGTTGATTTTTTTACTATTGACCGTGAATATTTTTGTAATATATGTGGTTACCATTGGAATATTTACCATTGACCAAAGATGAATAAGTTGATATAAGTCATATAAGTGGTTTTGGTACCTTGATCCATAGTATTTTGGGTACCAAATGAGGGTCAAGTTGCTGGTTTTGCCAGAGGGAAAATGGACTATACCAAGACAATGTATGAGTTGTTTGATAATTTTAATTTATCACCTTTATATCATATACATGCATCTACATCTACATATATGTACTTATGTATATATATATACATACATTGTTATACCAGTCAAAGATTAAATTGAAAGCACAGGGTCCCAAATTCTCTTTGGTTAACACGTTTTTCGCCTGTTCTATGGGCCCCTGTCGGAGTCGGGTGTCGGAGGCCCTCAATCTTCCGAGGTTTTAGGCGGTTTGCTGGTAGATTTACCTACCCGTAGGATCCATGGTGCTGCTATGTGGTAACATATGGTAACATGGATTCCATCAATGATGTTAGCACATATACCAGCACCATGGATCCTATGTTTACCTTCATAACTGGGTAGTTTTGTTGGGTATAAATGTTGGTAACATATTCCAGCACCATGGAATGTTTGGGTAATCATGTGGGTAAAACAATGCCATAAACCAGCCATGACTGGGGTTGGGTTCCCACCTACATATTTATGGTGATGACTGGGGGATGGTTTATGGCATTGTTTTACCAACATTATTGGGTATCCCCGTGTTTTTTCCCAAGGAATAACATGCAAACTATTCTAAGAAGTGTTGGTAATATAGGGTATTCCATGAAGTGTTGCCAACTTGCCGACTTTTGGGATGCCCTCTGGTCAACAAACATGGCAATAAAACATCATAAAACCATCACAAATATGTTTCATAGATTTCACAGGAAATTCTATGCCCCCCAAAAATGGTTTCTGGTGGCAAAGACAAAGCCACGTATATTCCTTGAATCCATCCTATTTTGCTGGAATCCTATGGTAGTTTCTCATGATATCACCACGGATTTCCTCAAAATGTGTCTGATATCCCACGATGACTCGTACCATTCCATCCCACTAAACCAAGCTTTCTATCACCATGTTGTAGCTGAAATTCCGACATATTGTCCATGGCTTACTTGGCCATGGATACATGGCTCTTGATCCCCTGAGATGTAGAGATGATTCACGGGTGATGGCTACTAACACTAGAATCCCGCGTAAATCATCATCCAATACGTAATGTTATATTATTATATAATCCATTCATCAATTCATCCACCATAAAATCCATGATATATCGATGTATATATATATATTATAACTATATCCATATCTATGTATATGTATATATAATTATATATATACACGTATAATATATATCTATCTATCTATCTATCTATCTATCTATCTATCTATCTATCTATCTATCTATCTATCTAATCTACTAATCTATCTATCTATCTATCTGTCTGTCTGTCTATCTATCTATCTATCTATCTATCTAATCCTATCTAATCCTATCTAATCCTATCTAATCCTATCTAATCCTATCTAATCCCATCTAACCCTATCTAGGCCTATCTTATCTTATCTTATCTTACCTTTATCTTATCTTATCTTATCTTATCTATCTTTATATATATATATATATTATGGTTCCTTTAACAACTCACCCCTCAAAACGCCCAGGAGCCGGCCACGCCCGCCGCCGGTGGCCTCGCCGGTGTTGGCGGCGCCGCGACGGTGGCCGTGCCGCGGCCCACGTCGGCGGCGTCCGAGGCCTCGCGCAGCGAGGCGTCGGTGACTTGGCGACAGAAATGGAGGGATGGCAGGGATGGGCTGAAGATTTTAGTGGATTCTATGGGATTTTATGGTGACTTAATGCGGATTTTATGGTGATTTTATGGTGATTTAATAGTGACTTAATGCTGATTTTATGGTGATTTTATGGTGATTTAATGGTGACTTAATGCTGATTTTATGGTGATTTTATGGTGGTTTAATGGGATTTAATGGGATTTATAGCAATCACCATGGAAAATCACCATAAAAATGATAGGTGAATCATAACAAAACACAATTTTTAATAGGTAAATCAACTATAAATGGTGATTTAATGGGGTTTAACGGGATTTAATAGGATTTTATGGTGATTTTATAGTGATTTTATGGTGATTTAATGGGATCTAATGGTGATTAATGGAGGTTTACCCTCTGGGAAACGTTTACAAAACTATGGAAAGATCCACCATTTTCAATGGGTAATCCACTATTAATTGCTATTTTCAATAGCTATGTAACAAATTGCCAGAGGGTAACCAGGGTATTTCAATAGCTATGTTAACATAGTTCAATTAGCAATACTAGTTCAATAGTAATAAGTGTTGCTATCCAATGTTATAACTAGTGTTGCTATCCCAAAAATCAGATAACTGGTTCTATATGTTAGTAATACTGATGTGGATGGTTACTAAATCCTGCACCAGTTGATAGATGGTAAACATCCCATTCTTTATAGGGGTTCAAACATCCAAGGTGGTGCAGGATTTCGCAGCGATCCACAGTATGTGGGGTCCCCAAACGTTATGTTTGTTGTTTTTTTTAAGCCCCAGTAACTAGTTCGTTAGATCTAGAAATCATACAATGTGGGGCCCCCCAGTTATGTTAGTTGGTTTATAAGCCCCAGTAACTATAGTTATAAGTAGCATAAACCATAGTGAAATTGGAGTTATAAACCAACTTAGCTATCTTGGGGGCCTCACATTGTAGGGTAAATTAGAATGACCGAAGCCTGTTCTCCCGAAGCCTGAACTCATGGTGTTCATAGGGAAATGATCCCCTTTTATGGCCGAACAATTCAGGTTAGTGAAATATTATAATTTACCCAGACATATGTTGACATATCCAATAATGTCAACCCCGGATTAATAAACCATGGTTTATGAAAATTGTGGGAGTACCCTCCAAATAGTCACAATATGATTCATAAATGGTACCCCCCAATTACACAGACGCTCGGGGTTTATTAATCCAGGGTTGGCATTATGGTATATCTACCTTCATAACTGGGTGATGTTTAGGGTGAATGTTGGTAAATATGGATGGTTTACGGATGTTACCTGGTTACCCTCTGGTAAACTAACATAGCTATGGAAAATCACCAGTTTTAGTAGGTAAATCAACTATAAACATATGTGAAAGTATGAAGATGGATGAGTTGGGATTTTAACTATATGTTAAAGATGAAAAACACGTGAAACCACGGTGATTTTTTGCGTGATTTAGCGCTCAAACATGAGGATTTAAGATGATGACTAAGGGATGTGAACCATGCAGGATGATATACATAAATCCTACATAAATATGCACACTGCATGGACAACAGCAGACCATGATTCCGTAAAAACGGATTGCCATCAAGTCCACGGCGTTGGGTACCCACCAGACAGAGAAAGAGAATGATCCTGAATTTCTGATTAATGTCAGCCCTGGATTAATAAACCCCAAACAGCTGTTTCATTTGGGGAAGTTTTGAACTGGTTGGTGACCCGGTTTCTCCATGGCATGAAACATCTCATCCTTCAGCGAGCACAAGAGGGCGATGACAAGGACGACTTATGTCCGGGGAGGCCAAAACCGACAAGGAGGTGGTTGAAAAAGCACCCGAAGTACCTGAACCGGTGGATCAAGCACCCGAAGTACCTGTGAAGCCAAAGAGGTACAGGAGGGTGAGGGTCAAAAAGGTCATGAAAAAAGACCCCAACACAGCTGAGAGTATCATTTAAGTATCAGATTATGACTATTGGGGAAGTACCTCCCGAATTAATAAACTATTAATCCGGGGTGACATTAAACGATTTCTCTGTTAGCTGGCCTTCACTTTTGAAGCAGCATGGCTAGTTTCTGAAATTGTCAGCAATATCGGAATTTACATCGCTTGCCAGATGTTCAACTGGCATTATTTGGAAGAAGTTTTTGCAGCCACATTGGTTATTTCACGGTTGTAGCCACTCTATCCAAGTTAAAGGAGTTAGCACAAGCCCTGTGTTTTCCAGTGCAGGGTGCAATGTAGTAGGCAATAGTAAGAAAGGATTGCAAATGCATACAAAGCAGAAAGCGAGCTTTGGTTGATTGGTATCACTAAATTCCGGGCAGGCAGGAGAAATCAAACAAATGGTAATGTAGCAGGTCCGTTCCTGCAGAATTAATTCGTTACTTTAAAAACTACTGGGGCAAAGGTATTCCTTCAGCCGTTACTATATATATGTATGATATAGAGTCGGCATTATTTAGTGCAAACTATTATTTGTCCATACACAACCTATTCCCACTAGCATTCACAATTTTAGTGGATTAGTCAACAAAAACATATATAAGTGTCATCCGCAACAAATCCAGGGTGGTTGGTGGTGTATGATATACACTGTGAGGCCCAATGTATATTTCTTGTAAAGAACACATTGGTTGGATTTTACGTACCTCAAGAACCGGGTATGAGTTAAGACATGAGTACCCTCCAAATTATGGACCCACAAATGGTTTCTCATGATTGTGTCTAAACCATGACATGTACATGTCATGGTACATTTAGCTATGATGTTTCACCTGGAATCAACCATGCCATTTCAGTGACCCCGGAGAATGGTTGGGTTTACGGGCTTATCAACATTGATCAACCGTGAAGAGATTGGGTTGAATCTCCGCTAGGCTCGGAGCGTTTTCGTCCTAAGGATGCATCTGAATCGAAAAAGAAGAAAAAGGGAAAGAAGAAGGGAAAGTTTCTTGGCTCAGCTTGAAAGCTGCGGACGGACTGTGTTATACTGTGTTGGCTCAGGGATAGATGTGGGGTCACATTATGGTCACATTTTGGCCCCGAAAAAGTCTGACATTTTGTTAACTAGACCATTCCGGTTTGTTTTTTTTTTGAAAGGTTTGATCCAAACTAAAAATGGGTGGATCTGACCATGGGGTAATTAATCAGATGGTGAAACTATAACTTGTAAAAGCTCCATGTTCAGCAACTTCAATCCAGAAAGTAAGATATTTACCCATTGGAGCCTTTCATTGGGCAAAATGCATAATGTTTGACGTTGAGAAGCACTCCGCTGATCATCTCAGAAAAGAATTATTGATATTCATGTATATAGTTATATATACAAATTATATATAATTATATATGTATACATATTTATATATATATGTAGTATATATATATACTACATATATATATATATAACTTTGGTGACTTTTGTCAGCTGTACATGGGATATCCGATCACCCCGTGACTTTGGGACTCACAATCACGATGGTTTCCCTAACCCACTTCCGTGTGCCCAGGGAAGAGCAGCAATCGTCAACCGAACAATCAGCCGGAAGCTTAGTATCAAGGGTCCTTGCATCTTTTCTAGCTTTATTCATCGGAGACAGCTACAAAGATGTGGCCTTGAGCACAAAACGGTGAGGGCCCCCGAAAAAAAAACAAAGGGAGAAAAGGGGAAAGATTGGCTGATGCTGCCATGTTTCTTCGTTGAAAGGTTGAACCTCACTTTTTTCAAGGTATAGGGCAGCCTTCTCAAGCACAACTGCTTGGTGAATCCATGGGGCTCAACACATTGAAAGAAACCGTGTGAAGATGTGTCAAGATGCCAGAGTGGTTTATATGATTGTGAGTATGGTATAAATATGCATGTGTACATTCATGTCTATATTATCATACCTTGTCATATGTTTCTCTACATCTTCTCTACATATGGTTATGTTTTGAAATAAGATATGATATACCGATATACCCCTAAAACGGCATTGTTTAGCAGGGAAACATTATCATCAAGCAGTGGATAAAAAAAGGGGGTACCATATTTTCCTTGACAAACTCCGATTTTCATACGTAGAATACTGATATATATATATATATGTATATTACACAATTGTATATGCATACCGTATACTCTAGCCATACCGTATACCGGCGGATCATCGGGGCATCTGAAAAAAGGCATCTGCGACGCTGTCGGCGGAGTCCAGTAAGATGGAGGTCCCTGGTTGAGTTTTTGGCCATCCAGATGGCGATGTGCATGTATAATCCTGTATATACATATAACTGGTTGGTGGTTGAAAAAACATGTTTTACGACTTTCCATATATTTTCAAACATTTTTTCCGATATATTGGGAATAAAAATAACAACTGACTAATATGTTTCAGAGGGGTTGAAACCACCAACCAGAGAACATATATACATATAACACATATGCATATAATTTGTATCTATGTGCATATGTATTTTATACCTCTCTATATATATATGTATAGAGAGAGAGAGAGAGAGAGACACACACTAAGAAGTCAAAAACTTGTTTTTGCATGGTATCTAAGGTTAGCCATTCAAAACGGGGTAGTTTCCTGAGAAACAGCGGGAGTTGACGATAATTAAGCATCATTATACGGGGATTCACAGATTTCTGTATTGCTCATATAGGGTTATGGTCATGGATCCATCAATAGGGAATTGTAATTACTCGTTCTGTTTGAATTCCCATCACGGGATGGATGACCAGGTCGCACATATACCATGTTACTTGTCCATGGCCACATGTGAACATGTTATCCTTTCTAGTGTTAAAAGGGCACATGTGTTTTAACATATATTATATTATATATATTATATATTATATACACATTGATGGCAGTAGAGGTGCCCCAACTTCGGGCCGAAGACGCCGAAGACGCCGAAGACGCCGCAGACGCCGCAGACGCCCGAAGACGCCCGAAGACGCCGAAGACGCCGAAGACGCCCGAAGACGCCCGAAGATGCCCGAAGACGAAGACGCCGAAGACGCCGAAGACGCCCGAAGACGCCGAAGACGCCGAAGACGCCCGAAGACGAAGACCCGAAGACGCCGAAGACGCCCGAAGACGCCGAAGACGCCCGAAGACGCCGAAGACGCCCGAAGACGCCGAAGACGCCGAAGACGGCCGAAGACGCCCGAAGACGCCCGAAGACGCCCGAAGACGCCGAAGACGCCCGAAGACGAAGAAGACGCCGAAGACGCCCGAAGACGCCGCAGGGTTCCGAACAGGAGTTTAGAAACTAACTCCAGATTTCTTTTGTGTCGTTTTACTCCGACCATGTCCGACCAACCCCAAACTTGTCATTTTGATTTATCTTGAGCCATGTTTTATCTACCTCCCTCGGCCCTACAACACAACACGTTCAACATATGAAGCAAGTTGACCTGTCGAGTCATTCTGCTAGTCATTATTATTATAGATTTAGTCCCTTCTCCACACAAAACACTATGTTCAACATATGAACCAACTTGGCATCTTGAGTCATGTTTGAAATGTCTTTTCCTTCCCCTACAACAAGACAATACGTTGAACAGATGAAGAAAGTTGGCATCTTGTGTCATGATTGAAATTTGCAACTCGTCGACCCTACAATGCAATACGTTCAACGTATGAAGAAAGTTGACATGTGGAGATATGTGGAGTCTTTTTTTAAATTTATCCCCCCTGGACCCAACCAAGCAATATATACATTCTGTCCCCTACAAAACACAACGTTCAACATCGTTCAGCATGAACAAGCCATCTCGAGCCATGTTTAACAGGTCCTTTCCCTACCTTTGCAAACCAATACGTTGAATATATGAACAAAGTAGAAATGTCACGTCATCTTTATATTTTGAACTCCTCTCCTTCCCCTGAAAAACAATACCTCGAACACACCAAAGAATGGGCTTTCGACATTTACAATTGCGTGACCCTACACTGCAATACCTTGAACATGTGATCATAGTTGGCATTTTGGGTCATTGTTATGATTTCTTCCCCTTCCTCCTGCCCTGTACAAACCGCTACATTCAACATATGACCCAACTTGGCATCTTGAGTCATTTTTGAAATATACCCCCCTCGACCTTTCAATATGTTGAACAAATGAAGTAAATTGACATGTCGAGTCCGCGTCATCAAGATTTTTTGCGCTTCCGATGTTACAAAACAATATGTTGAACCAACAAAATTGTCATCTCAAATCATTTCTAAAATTTACCCGCCCCTCGACCCTACAAGGCAATACATTCAACATATTAAACCAACTTGGCACCTTGAGTGATGTTTAAAATGTTTTTTTCCCCCCTGCATATAATTGCCTTGAATATTGAACACATTATGTCATTTTTTTGCACCCCCAAACCTCCACAAAACAATACATTTGAAAGCAGAACAAAACTTCTATCTTGAGTTCTTTTTCCCCACCTGCCAGGTGAAGGTTTCTAGATTTTAACAAAGATGCGACTCCTTCCTCTTCTTCCTCTTCTTCCTCTCCTTCCTCTCCTTCCTCTCCTTCCTCTCCTTCTCTTCTTCCTCGCCGGCTGTGGATGCAGTGGAGTGCGGCTCGACCTGAGTGCCATGCCGCGAGATCAGGATGCCTGGACCCGACAGCCATATCGCGCGCTCAGGAGGCTGTGGAGCGCGCCTGGACCCGAACAAACAGAATGGCAGAATATACGTCAGATACAATGCCAGAAAGAATGTCAGATAGAATATCAGAATATATTTGCCATAAATACTTCCAGATGGTATGTCGTAAACTATGTCAGAACATATAGCGCGTAAGAGAGGGGAATAAACTTACCTTCCATCAGCCCTGCAAAGCAATAGGTTCAACATATATTATATCTGCACAAATTATAGCGAGGACAGCCGAGGCAACGAGGCAGGTTGCAGGAATTAGCGAGGTCAGCCCTTAATTTGCTCATCAGAATTAGCCGACCTCGACGAGGTAGCCTTGCATTGGTTCTGTTGCATGCTTGGGCTTGGCTAGAAAAACTTTTTTGGGGGCCAGAGGCCGGTCAGCAGGCAAGGAAGGAAAAAAACTTTTCAGGCCCCAAAAAGTTTTATTTTCTATCGCCAGAGGCCGGTCAGCAGGCAAGGAAGGAAAAAAAACTTTTCAGGCCCCAAAAAGTTTTATTTTCTATCGCCAGAGGCCGGTCAGCAGGCAAGGAAGGAAAAAAAACTTTTCAGGCCCCAAAAATTTTTATTTTCTATCGCCAGAGGCCGGTCAGCAGGCAAGGAAGGAAAAAAAACTTTTCAGGCCCCAAAAAGTTTTATTTTCTATCGCCAGAGGCCGGTCAGCAGGCAAGGAAGGAAAAACAACTTTTCAGGCCCCAAAAAGTTTTATTTTCTATCGCCAGAGGCCGGTCAGCAGGCAAGGAAGGAAAAAAAACTTTTCAGGCCCCAAACAGTTTTATTTTCTATCGCCAGAGGCCGGTCAGCAGGCAAGGAAGGAAAAAACCTTTTCAGGCCCCAAAAAGTTTTATTTTCTATCGCCAGAGGCCGGTCAGCAGGCAAGGAAGGAAAAAAACTTTTCAGGCCCCAAAAAGTTTTATTTTCTATCGCCAGGGGCCGGTCAGCAGGCAAGGAAGGAAAACAAACTTTTGAGGCCCCAAAAAGTTTTATTTTCTATCGCCAGAGGCCGGTCAGCAGGCAAGGAAGGAAAAAACACTTTTCAGGCCCCAAAAAGTTTTATTTTCTATCGCCAGAGGCCGGTCAGCAGGCAAGGAAGGAAAAAAACTTTTCAGGCCCCAAAAAGTTTTATTTTCTATCGCCAGAGGCCGGTCAGCAGGCAAGGAAGGGAAAAAAACTTTTCAGGCCCCAAAAAGTTTTATTTTCTATCGCCAGAGGCCGGTCAGCAGGCAAGGAAGGAAAAAAAACTTTTCAGGCCCCAAAAAGTTTTATTTTCTATCGCCAGAGGCCGGTCAGCAGGCAAGGAAGGAAAAACAACTTTTCAGGCCCCAAAAAGTTTTATTTTCTATCGCCAGCGCTTCGTGGGTTGACGGCTGCAGAAGCAGTAGGATTCAGAGTTGCTCCAGAAGAGCATTGCATCTCTGCGATAATGTCAGAGATGTCACCACCCAAGCGCAAGAAGCGCACAGACCGATCAGACTCAGACTTAAAAATCCCTGCAAGAGACCGTGGATCGTGGAAAAAAACTTTTCGGAAGCTGAAAAGTTTTTTTCCTTGGGGTTGGACCCTGGGAAGAAGGCCCACAAGCTACTTTCTTCCTTCGAATTAACGAGGTAAAGCCTTAATTTGCACCTGCAAATTAACGAACGAGGACAGTAATCATGGGGAACAAATTAAGACACGAGGGAGACGAGGTAAGAATTAAAGTAATTTGGCCAGATTATATGAACAGTTGACACATGTAGTTAGTGTTATATAGATTTTCAAACACATCCCCTACAAGGCATTCAACATGTAAACGAACTGGGCATCTTGAATCATGTTGAACATGTCTTTTCCTTCCTCACAAAACAACACGTTGAATTTATGAACAAAGTCAAAAGTGTTGATTTATTTTCACATATTTCAGCCCCCCTACCCTACCCTACAAAACAATACGCTGAACAGACGAAGAAAATTGGCATTTTGAGTCAATTTTGTGATTTACCACCCATCGACCCTACCAGATAATATGTTGAACTTATGGAAAAAGTTGACTGGCTGAGTTCTTCTCATCGGTTTACCTCATCAAAACACTACGTTTAACATAGTTGAACATATGAACCAACGTAGCATCTTGAGTTGCGTTTAAAATATCGTTTCCTCCCTTGCAAAGCAACACGTTGACTATGAACACAGATGAAGGCTTAAGTCAGTTCATTTTTTTTATGCCTCCCCCCGCCACAAAACAATATGAATGTTGAACACATGAAACAAATTGAGATCTTGAGCCAGTTTTGAAATTTATTCCCCCCCTGACCTTACCATGAAGTTGACATGTTGAGTCGGGTCATTGCTACAAACTTGCCCGCCCGTCCCCTACAAAACACTACGTCCGTTCAACATTAGAGCTAACTTGGCATCTCGAGTCATGATTCAAATGTCATTTCCTTTCCCTTCAACAAAACAATACGTTGAACAAATTAAGACAATTCATCTTGAGTCATTTTTGAAAGTTACGACCCCCCGACCCTACACAGCAGTACGTTAAACATGTAAAGAAAATTGGCATATTGAGTCATT